CGAGTCGTCGGCAGTCCTCGCCTTTGTCAAAGTGAAAACGCGCGGCGACGGTGGCGGCGGCGCGCATTGTATATTAATTCGCAGCCACGACCCACGCATCGCCGAGGAAAATAAATACGCGGCACGCGCGCGCGTCTCCTCTTCTTGCGCGCTGCGCCTCTCGAGAACAACTCCCGCGCGCGTTCTCGGTACTTTCGACAACATCGTCCTCTCCAATCAACCTATATCGTGAGTGCGCGATTCGCGTAAAACACGCGCAGCCTCGTTGTTTTATTACTCGTAAATTTTCCGACCGAAGGGGGGGGGGGACCTTCCTTCGCGAGAGATAAGAATCGATTGCTCGTTTGTAGAACGGTCACTCGTGTATACGCAGTTGAATAGTACTGAGAAATTGAATTTCTTTGATATCGTCACTATACTCCATATAGATTATCTCCAGATAGACGTCGATTAGGTTCTCATGAAAGTGTCATCCTTATACGTTGATTAACGTCTGAATGCGTAGTCGAACTCGTGTTCAATGATATTTTGAAAAAAAAAGATAAAATAGAATGTTTTTATCGGAAACGAAACAAAAGCCAGTAACATTGATAAGGCAGGGTGAAATGGTGAACAAAAAAAGGAACAGCTGGAGATGGTCTCGGTGGGCGGAAGGAAGTGCCGCGCAAGCGGAAAATTCGAGGGTTTTTTTGCGTTGCCGGTGAAACGCCCGCGGGCGCGAGATCTCAGTCGACAGATATGAGCAGCGCGCGCGTGTATATGTATATATATATATATATATATATATATATATATATATATATATGTATATATATATATATATATATATATATATATATATATACACACATGTACACACATATATATCGGTCACGTAAATCTCTCTCGCTCCCCGATTAATACGAGCAGCCGCGCGCGCGGCCCTCCTGCGTTATTGCTGCCGCGCGAAACGCGACCTGACTCTGCGAGCTCTCGGTCTTTCGACGATCGCGTATGCTCTTTGTTCGGGTGCGAACGGGCAATCGAGCGCTCGACGGCCAAGCGTCCTTCCTCGAGGGCGCGACTCGCTGGTACACACAGCTCCTCATTATTACCGGGAGATCGCTCGAGAGCTTAATTGAATAATCACGAAAGTGACGAGTGTTCGCTTGTATCGCAACTGAATCTTGTTCTCGCGCTAGGCGAGTCGAGTGTTTACGATCGGCCGAGCGAAGTATCGCTATTTAGCGACCGAGCTATAAATATCTCGATAAATATCTGGATCTGCAGCGCGCGCGCGCGCGCGCAACCTTTCCCCGCCTTCCACTTGCAATTATTGAAAGAACGTAAGTCCAACGCGCATAGCAGCGCGTGCTTTTCGTGACTCATTCCTAATATTTATGTTCGTTATTGTTACGCGCTGCCACTGTAATTGTAGGCGCTGAAGAAGCGCCTAAAATTAGTTTAAAATGTTATCAAACTGCGAAGACGCGTAAGCTCTCAATTTTCGCGCCGATAAAAGGCAATTAAAAAATGAGGCTTCTGCAAACGATTGGCTCGGGCTGGGAGCTGCAAATTGACCCGAATTCTTTTTTTCGAGGCTGCAAGTTATTCAGGCTTCTGAGCTATTCGGGGCGTCGAGTGCGCGGGGGCTCGTATTTGTACTATTAATCAAGTCAGCGCGCAGAATACAATTATGCATGCTAATTTGGTATTTTTAGCAAAAGCTTGAAAGTCCATTAGTTCGTAAGAGATTGTCGCAAGTGCATTTACCGTGCGTTATCGTCTGCGCTCGCGAATCCCAAAACTAACTTTGTCCGTTCAGGCCGCAAATCGTAACTGTGGACTTTCAAAGCCAATAGCAAAAATTGAACACGGAGTATTGAACAAGAAAAGCGCGAAAAATCGCGATGTTTTTTTACGAAACATGGTATGAAATATAAACACGCTCTACATAATCCGAACACGAGGAACTAAAGAGATGAAAGTTGAAGCTAGATAGGAAAATATGTGCAATCTGAATGTTTATTGAATTTTGAAATGTAGGGCGCGATGTTATACAACCCGTCTCTTCATAACTATAACTACCTTGTGTAAACGCATTTCACACGTCGACAAGATGATATAAACAGATTAAAAAATTCGCTACGTTGTTGCTGTATTCTTTTTAATGCGAAACAAAAGAGAGAAAAAAAAAAGGAATAACAGCATCGTCATCGTACGTGCGCTCCAATAAGTCGCCGACCAACAGCACGACAAAATGCATGGACATATAATAAGCTACTCATCACGGCAGTTCGTTAAAGAAGCTAATTTTAGAAGGCAATAAAGGAAAGACGAAGAGGTACAAACAACAACGCAAAAACGTGAGTAATGATCGATTCAACGAGACGCGCGCATGCAAATAAGTGGCCAGCGCTCGCGAGTCTGAAAATCATTACGCGCGTTTATGAAATTGCGCAACTGCGAAAAAAAGAAAACCTTTTGTTTGCGTGGTGCGCGTGACTTGGAAGATTGAAAACGCAAAACAGCAGCCAGCAGCCAGGCAGATGCGCGTGTTCATTGGTGCCGACGCGAGCACATTGGTTTCTACCGCGCTAAACGCAAAGAAACAAACGAACCGAAGATACGCTCGCCGATTTGAAAAGCCTACGCGGCGATCCACGTCGCGTTTTCACGATCGCCGATAGCGGCTAATTGCCGTCGCGTCAGCTGCAAAGATTCCATCGGCGCGCGCGATCGGATCGAACATTGGATTGTCGCCTTCCTGGCGAGGGCGTCAAGGGTGACGCGGAGATTTGCGGGATCGATGCCTATAGCGCTTACGCGCGTAAAACTGTCGCACGTCTGACTCACTGCGGCCGAAGCGTAGTCGGACGATGCTTTCATCAGCGAGTCTCGTTCTCGTTGTCTTATCGGACGAGGGAGTCGAAGGCTGTGCACGCGGGCCACGTCACGAGCAACATCGACGGGCGCAACCATCTGCGAAACGACGAGCGAAACACCTTGCCCGCTGGGAAAAACATCGCGTCGACGGGACGCGCTCTGCAATACGTAAACATCCTTATCGAGCATCTGTCCGAAGTGGCTTCTGGAGGCTCGGCCCGCGGCAATCTAATCGAAGCCCGTGGCGGGCGCGGCCTAAAGCGCGAAGGGCCGCCGCTGGCTCGGGAATTGCCTGGCTCTTGGCTCTTATTCGCTTACCGTTGGCGCCCGCGGGCAGTAAACGAGATACGCGCGCGCGCACCTGCCTTGCGGCGGCGACGTCGACGACGACGACGATGATGGCGATCACGGGCGTTCTCCTCGTGCGACCGAACAGAGCAAAAGGATCGAGGGCGAGAGAGACAAATAAAAGAAACTCGGACGACCGCGTGCCTTAATTACGGTCGATTGTCCCGTTTGCCGCGCGCAAGATAAGCGTCGCCGCCGAGTAGATTAAGCTCCGAAGATATTACCGCCGAGGAGGGCGAGAAAGAAGTCGGCGGTTCTCGCTGCGCGCCAAGCTCTTCTCTCGCTCCCTCGGATGATTTACGAGGCGCCGTGTATAAAAGCTAAAGCCGCTGATGAAAATAAAATATCCTCGCGCTACCCGTATATATTCCAGAGGGAGGCGCGCGCTTTACGACGCCGCGCGCTCTTTCTCTCTCTCTCTTTCTCTCTCTCTCTCTCACTCTCTCCCTCTTTTAATTTTCGGTGAAGTGCTGCGTGGGCGAAACCACCCGGATTGCTTCTTTCCAGACCGCGGGCCGCGCTCATTCGCGCGCGAGAGATAGCGATCGAAATAAAGCGAGGCCGACCTTCAACGTCCGCGAAAGCGAGGATCCACGGGCGCCCGCGCGGACGCGTACCGCATGCACTCGCGGGCCAAGATGCGCGTAACCGTATTTCGCGAAGCGATATCATCGACCGCGAGCGACGTAGAGGGGAACCGACGACGCCATATAACAAGGGCTGCTCTTCTTTATTGTCGGACACGCCTATAAATAGGCCAGATGGTCGTTCGCGCCGATAGTCGTCGGGACCGTAAAAAGGAAGCGAAGGCAGGGCCGGGCGCTCCTCGCTCCAACGACAGTCTTCGCGACGAGAGCCATGCCTGTAGCTTTATTTCGTTCTCTCCGCTTTTTACATCCCCCGGCCGCTCTGGCTCTCCCTCGGATGTACCGCGTCTCGAGATTAAGGCGACAATCGAACTTGCCGAGCGCGGCGAAAAGTGACGCGCGAAGCGCGCGTCGGCGGATCAGCCGGCTGGGATATCGCGCTAGATCGCGCGCTAATAATAGCCGCGCGCGTGCGCTTATCGTCGTTTCCGATCGGCCCTGGCGTATTATCGTCGGGCCCGCGCGGCCGGGGGAATTTTTCGTTCGGCCGCTATCCTTTTGATGCGATTCCAATAGAACGATTATAGCGCTTCGACGCGGGCGTGCTAAGCGTTTTTCAATGTTCCGCGCCGACGTCGCGTTCCAGCTTACACGGGACGCAGCGCGCGCGCGAGATCAACCGGCGCGCTCGCGCCTTCCAGGGGAGGATCATTAGTGCGCCGAATGGTGCGTTTCGCACGCACGGCGAGCAACAGGTGCGACTCACTCACAGCATTTTCGTCATTTTTAAAGCACGCGTACGTATGCGTCTAGGTTTTTTTTTTCTGATAAGGTTGGAAAGAAGCGCAATCTACGTACGTAAAAGCTATAAATAGCAATGATCGACAGAGCTATTTGTAGAAAAATAATGAGGCGATGAAAACAAATCCAGTAATTGATCGCTTTCATGTCGATTCAATGAGCAGATTATGAAGAATTAAATTTACCCGTAAAGGCGACACGCCGTGTTTCTACTGATTTTCTCGATAAATATTAATAACAGTAATTCCCCGTGAGATAATGGTTGTTGCCGTGTCTACGTACTAATCAATAAATCAAGAAACTGAAATAAAACAGAAAACCAATATCTTTAAATGCTCGAATAAGTAAATACGCACGAATATTTACTTATAAAAACTTCAGTTTTTATTATTACAGCTTATACTAAGATTTAAATTTAGCATATAAGTTAAGTATTATAAACGCTTGCGCCGATTAATATCCATAAATAAGACACGCGGCTTCACGTTTCAAGTGAGTTCGCACATAAAAGGTACATCCTTACTGTCTTCATAAACAAAGCTCCGTCTCTTTTCTATCTCGTATAAAGAAAATATGCATCTGCTCGTTCGTGTTATTCGATTCGTGTTATCGCAGTTGCATTTTCAAATCTTATTTCGTATCATCATATACGCGTGTATATATAACTCATAATAAATTCGGCCATTCACAATGCATTTTGAATTCTTAATTAATTTATAACGTCCATTGTTTTCTTTATTCTTATTTAGCATAATTAATATCGATTATTTGATAGCCGAATACAAATGTTGGAAGAATGTCAATATTCATAATACTGAAAGACGACGAAACGTCTTTTTCGATTGGTTTCCAATATTTTTTACAGATTTCACAATAGTTCATGATTTAATCGAATGATGAACATAGCCGATAATTATCGGAATTCTTTCAACTTGTCATCTATTTTTGATAATCCCGTTAAAATTAGCTCATCTATTAAAGTATACTTCGACAATATTGTGCTTAAATTCTTTGCACAATGGGAATAACCTGTGATAATACTAGTAATGAAAGCTTGCTTTACTGATACTTTTTTGCTGACTGTTCTTTTTATAAAAAACGCGCATGCAGACATCGATTTTTGGAATTTTTAATTCGCACTATTAATATCGACGATAAACCACGATTGGCGTAAGTAAAAGAAATTTAAAAGTTAGTACAACTTCAAGCTGTACAATAACAATATTATTTGCTATGTATTATACAAAAGTGAGCTTAAAGCAATTCCGTGAGTTCCTCAGACTGTTTATTCATATATCTGCAGATTCGCTTTGAATACTGGTTTTATATTGTTACGTTCAAGCTAATCATTATATATGAAACATATAAAAGGCCATTTACTTATACATTTATGATACAGAGATCACCTAACTGTACCGATGCTTTAATGTGGATTAAAAATAGATGGTATTAATTGTTATTGCATTCAAAGAAGTATACATATATACACACACACACATATATATATGCATATGTATATATATAAATATACACCCACAAAATGAATATATAGATATTAGACGTTTAAAGGGGCTTTCTTTAATGTTTGATTATTTCTTTCAAATAGCTTAATTCTTGACTTCAATCCTACTATTTTTATTCAGTCAAACCATTTATTTTTATTTACTTTTTTCTATAGACTGGAAACGTAATAAATATTGATTACAAGAACAATAATATTATAACAAGATTTTCTTTATCGCGTCACTAGGCACTCAATTTATATAGATATTATGTAATCGCAAATCTCTGCAATGATGAATTTTTTATCCAGGATCTTCTTTTGTTTACATAAGCATTTTGTTAAGAGTTTTTTTTTGAATTGGTAATTGCACTCGACGTTTAACTATAAAATGGTGCTTTATTTACAATTAAGTTTTTTAAATGTCTCTCACTAACAACGGACGACATTGCTCAATTTTTCGTTATTATCAATTCCTGCCAAGGAACTCACTCGGACAACATGGAATTCCTACCTTCGCGTCATGTATTACAGTATTTAGGAACATTTAAGGATTATACTCGTTGAAAAGTGTATATTGGCCTGCGCTTCGTTTTTTTGGACTGATCATTGCAGAGATTGTTAAAAATTTCGTGACAGCCTCTCAAGATAACTTAAATATGCTAACTAAGGACTATAACAAAGATATTTTAGTAAGACGTTACATTATAGAAGGATACATATATAAAAGAGGACAATTAATTGATATGATTATTGCACATAAGAAATATTGAAAAAGCTAATATAGTGATTCTATGTCGTATGATTTCATATTTTGTTTGTTTCTATTTTGGTTAATACAATTCTATTTTTTCCCTCGATTTATCTATTTATGAGTAGATATTCAACGATAAGAGTATTATAAATGCCTATGAACTTTGATAAACGGTCAGTTCAGTATATATATATATATATATATATATTGCGTCAGTGTAAATACGTAAAAATAAGTTCATTAAAAGCAAATTAAGCACGACATTTGTAAAAATCGAATCCCCGTGATATCCGAATATAATGCGAACACTTTTACCGCAAGATCTATGTTTTATTTGTATTTACTGTGAAAAATTTCAATACGTTTTTAAAAGTTTGATATCACCAGTTAGATCAGTTTTTCTCCATAACTTCGGCAAAATCTATTTACATAACGAATACAATTCTCTATCGTACAATAATCAGAAATGGGCAAATTACGTCAAAATAGTGTACAATATTTTTAGGTTTGTTGAAAAATAGATTAAATACTCAGCATTTCATATTGTTTAGATTATCATCCATCAGACAATTCTAAAAAAATAATCAATCAACACCAAAAATTACTCATTAATCCGCACATACGTACAGAACAACCATTGGAAAAATGAAATGCCCATATCTGTGACAAGCAGTAAAACGAAGATTCATTTTAAAATTAATTTAAAACTAAATGCACCACAAAAAAGAAGATGTAAGTAGGCTTGTCAAGTACATTTGTTTAAATGATAAAAAGAAAACAAGAAAAGTTAAATGCCAATTCAAAAAGGAGCAATAACGGCAGCGGCCTCACCTCTGCTCGTCGGAAGAGGAGCACACTCTGTCCACTTATAAGAAAGCGGATCGTAACGTTCAACGGTGGATATTGTTATTTGGGTACGATAAAAATTAATTTCTTGCGGCTGATCACCGCCGATTACATATAAACGGCCATCAGCCGCCGCTACGGCAGGATATGAACGACCAACGTTTAATGGGGGAACCATGGTCCACGTATTCTGCAAAATAATTATTTTTTTGTTAATGTCTAGACAATAACGTTTCGAAAGGTTTTAGATTACCTCTTTGAACGAATATCGTTCCACGGAAGACAAGACTTCTTGATTTTTATTGGTTCCACCGACTACATACATGTAGCCATCGAGCACAGCAATTCCCATTTGAGATCGAGGTGTCAACATGGATGCCAAATTATTCCACTCTCTTGTTACTGGATTGTAACTCATCACATCCTGACGATGTCTGCTGTCATGTGTGCACCCTCCAACAATGTATATCAGTCCTAAAAATAGTATCACCGCGTCTATTATATATCATTTTTTAAATAAATCTTTATCGTCTAGTAAAAATGAAAGTGTAATCTACGTACCTTCATAAGCAATAACACCCATACTAAATCGGGGTTCGGGCAGTTTCCCACTGAGAGTCCAGGTATTATTTATCGGATCGTAGACTTCGATGGTACCACCGATGTCCTCGCCGACCCAGCCTCCGAATGCATATAGACTATTGTCCAAGGCACAAAAACCAAACTCACACCTCGGCTCAATCATGCACGCTATCGGAGTCCACACATTGTCGCGAGGATCGTAACACTCGCCATTTGCTATTATACAAGACTCTAGTTCGCCGCCCACTACGTATACTTTGCCGTCCAATAACGCTACACCCGGCAGTATTCGGCCTATTCCAATAGGCGCTACTTCACTCCACGTGCTAAAAACAAATAGCGATAGCATATAAACACCTGCATTTTTCAATTAGTAAAAGTATATACTTGACGTACTCGTTGAACGTGTCGTATTTGTTTATGGTTTCATAGGTACTTTCAGCTGGTCTGACCCAACCGTCTGTCGAATGCTCGCGTTTAGAGCCTCCTATCACTAAAATGTTTTTCTTAGCGCAGAGTCGAGGTTGTGCACGCAAGGGTACAAGGCATCCTTTATTGGTTATCAAGTCTTTTTGAATGGAGGTCAAGGCCACTATAAGACTGCCGTCATTGCATTCGTAAATTACTCGATCAAGGCGAGCCATCGAGCATAATCGTAATCTTATGTGGCCAAATAGTTCAAACACATAACAACGTCTTGAGGGTATGTCATGCATTATCCAATTGTATGCTGCTTGGAAGACCTAAACATTATATTGGTAGTGACTATCACTCCAAATATAGTCAAATTGGAAAAGAAAACGTACCTGAAATTCCGTGTCGATGTGAATATTTTCGCTACTAATAAAACGAACTAAATGCTCTTTTGGCAGATCCAAAAATTCCTCTTCTTTTGAAACTTGAGGAAAATTGACTTCAATAAAACGTAAGGCAGTCTCCAATAGGTCCACTCGATTGTGAGCTTCTGCAAATCTGCAAAATTATACACAAATTTTGTATTATATAAGCGAGGGAATTTATGGATCTGTTCCAACTATATAGAAATAAATGCTTAGTCTATATAGGTGTTTGGTATAGTTTAAGGAAATCAATAATACTACACTACCTATAAATTCCAAGGGCATTAGAATAATGTAGTTGTTCTTGTAAGTAAGAGATACAACTAGAAACTACTTCATCCAGTTCCAACATATCAGCTGCAGCAAAGACCTCTTGAACATTTTCTTGAGTTATATTAACATTCCCGGTGTAAATGAAATCTACAAGAATGGACAGGATATTTTCAGAGATAGTATGAATTTCTACAAGCTCTTGCTGTTCTTCAACCAGTCCTCCAGTAAACATAGCATTGAAGTAAGCACTGCTTGCTGCCAATACAGATCTGTGGGCTCTAATAATTGTATTTCCAACTACTAGACCCACATCGCTAAATTGATTCTTAAGCCTTTGTGTATTCAAATTCCTTAATACTTTGGGAGCATAATGACCTACAGCATAGACAGTGTTGGAATTATCTGCTGTTTCATTCATTGGTTCAGTAGCAAAACCCATGTTGTTGGTATTTATTTCGTTCTTTAATGAACCTACAGTATTTTCAGCCATGAAGCCATCGAGTTGACCTCTGTCGACAGCACCTAAAAATCATTATTTTCACATTGAGTTTTATATTTTGAAAAAAATTTCAAATTAAACTTCCACAAATGAGCATAGATATTGCAAAAAAGAATTATTTGAGGCTATGTAACACTCTAACATGCAGTTCTAAATTTTCTATTTTTAATACACTTATGTAATATTTGCATCAATAGCACCTACTGGTATTCGAGCATTCTGCACAAGAGAGTATAGATAGGCAAGGACTAATCATAAACATTGTATCAATTATTGGAAGATAAAAAAAAGGAACTTTAAGAAAATAAAGAAAAGTTCCGCGAACTACCAAACAAGCCATAAGCGTCAAAACTAAAACCCTTGAAGTACACTATAGGGCTACGAAGAACAGAAAAGGGAAAAAAGGTACGAGAAGAATAAATAGTATCGATTAGCGAAGACTTTTAAGCTAAAAAGTGCATCGCACTCGCTTTCTACTTACGACATATACGCGAGAGGACTTTATAGACACTAGGAAACGATTTAGAATTAGTTTTCCCTTTGAGCCGCATAATTACCACCTCATTTTTTTGTCCTCCACATTCGCAAACTAGCTTGTGTCTCCTGTACGCGACCTTTCCTTATCTGAGCCTCTGCCCCAAATCAATTCACCAATTTGCTAATCGACAATATGACATATGTCAAACAATGTCGTAGCACTTGAAGTCTGCAGCGAAATTGCTCCAATTCCATTTTACGTTCGTTGTACGAATTATTATCAATCACATGCTTAATTATTTTTCGCAATAGGTTCGTAAATGTGAAAAGAAATACTTGTTTTGCACTTGAAATTTTATGAAGGCCTTTACTAATTTGTTTTTCATTTTTTGGCGAATCCGCCCACTTTCGAGTGACGATCGATTCGATTTAAATGTTCTATATAAACTGTACCAATGTAATAGCACTAAAATTTTAAATCAGATAATTTTTCAATGTAAATTCATCAATTTCCATACCTTTATAAATAAAACTACACATCAATCTTATACTCTTAATCTATTTTTATATTAACCCAAAATGATTTTGAAAGTAAAGAACATTTTTAATTTTCAAATTTTTATTCTGTGCGATATTGGTATTACTTACACTTAACTCACATTACTAAAGCTCACTTCACTTCCCAGTCCAATATTCGCCAATGGGCTCTGAAGTCTGATTCGTCTTTCGTCGTGGTCGGTGGTTTTTGCACGATTGCGTAGTGCGGGTTATTTTTTATTTCAGTTTTACCAAATTAGTCAAAATTAACGTTCTTTCAGTAATTTCTTCTACGTTTTTATTTTTTATTTTTATCGGAGGAAGCGATTTTTAATCATTGCACTCTCACAAAAATGACGTATAAATCGAAGGACAAGAGGTCATACGCGAAGTTTACAGTAAGTAAAAATGCTACTTATTAGTGGTATTGCCTATTAACATACTTTGATTGTACCATTTATTGACTGATAACAATATTTTGTTTATAGAACTATGAAGGGCACGATGAATTTCTTAATCGAATATCGAAAACTTTGTATTACACAAAATTACCAGTGACTGATGGTCTCAGTTTACCTGTAACAGGTTTGTACAATAGTATTATCTCACATTATGCAATCATTAAATTTAAGTTGTTGCTAATTTATTTACAATCATGATATTTAAATTGTTGCTAATTCATTTACAGAATTGGCAGCTGAAATCTTCACTGAAGTAAAAAATGGACAAACTTTAGAACGCCTAGATGTTGAAGAAGCAAGTCAAATCTCTCGAAATGCTTGTGTTTCTCCTTGCTCTCTTGTTTTAGCATTACTTTACCTTGAAAGATTAAAAGACTGTAATCCAGAATATTTAAAAAGAGTTGCACCATCTGAGTTGTTCTTGGTCTCCTTGGTATGTACTGACTGCACATATCTAAAACCATTTCTTATTAGAGAAAGGTATTATAAAAATCTTTTACTTTTCTTTAGATGGTTGCTAGTAAATTTTTAAATGATGATGGAGAGGACGATCAAGTTTTTAATACAGAATGGGCATATTCAGGTGATTTAAGTACTACAAAAATAAATAAACTAGAGAAGGAATTTCTCGAAGCCATTGTAAGATTTATCTTTCAATATATTCTTCCTCTATTTTGTTACTATTAATTTTATTATTTTTATTAAAATCAAAAATTCAAATCAAGCACATATTAAAAAATTATATTTTATAATGTAGTAATGTTGATTTATTTTGATTTTTAGAATTGGTGTGTATTTGTACATAGTCAAGACTTTTGGGAACGATTGCAAAGGCTGGAAAGAGATATTGCCTATAAAGAAGCTCAGAAGAGAGGTTGGTTCTCTTACACAGAACTCAACTCTTTGCTTGATTCCATCCACTTAACAAGTGTAGTAAATCCAGTACTCAGCATATCTTCCATTTGTATGGCAACTTATGCTGCAGGATTGGTTGCTCTCCTTGGCTCAACTGTTTTTGCAACACATTTACCAATAGTTCTTAGAAAGCAAACGCAATCAACTTGCATGTCAAGTCTCGTTGACAGACCTTGTTCAAACGACGATTCTTGTACTGAACTTGATCAACAAATTGAAAATATCTTGTTAGATTCAATTTCCAATGATGCTGAAGTTTGTAATGAATCTCATGTTGAAATCTACATATATATGAAAAGCAATTATACAAATACAGGAAATGAGTGGGATTGGATTATTGATTCAGTTATGTTTTGGCTTCCAAACAGTTTAAATTTGAAAGCAGAATCTGGAATCAATGATTGGAAAAATGACTTCAATCAAAACAGTGTTCATGTTACTAAAACAGACTTTATAATTGAATCAAATCCGTTTCTACAGTATTCTGACAATGAAGTTAAAAACATCGTGAAGACAAAATCGCTAGATTCAAATTTCAAAATTGCTTCACATGACTGGACACATAATTTCGGATATCTATCTAAATTACCTCATGTAATCTGAAGTACCTCCTAAGTCATGGACAATGATATAGATCGTAATTCTGATTGTCTTGCTTGATTCAACACACACACACACACACACATATATATATATGTATATATATATCTCTTCAAATTTAATTTGTAATTTATAATTTTATTCAACTTACTTTATGCTTTAAATTAAATTTTATCTTTTATATTTGAATTTATAAACAAATTTTATATTCTTTAATAATTTTTCAATTAATTTATACAAGAGTTAGATTTTTTTAAAAACAATCTAACGTTGACGCTATACTATCAATTCCTTGACAGTTGCAAAGAATCCGATTAACGAATTAACTATTAACATGTACAACTTATTAAACTAAACACCGTCACTATAGAAAGATATATTTTTTGTACTTCTATTCTGTATTCGTTTGAACAAAACGTTTTTCAATAAAAATTATAAAGAGTAAGTACGTAGTTAAGTCTATTTTGCCAAGCATTAGTATACAAATACATGTAAATAAAATGTCGATTGATGCATATACTTCACAATCTAAAATAGTTTTTTAAACTATTCTATGCATTGCTTCAAAGTTTCTCTATGTACACATTTTAAAAATAAGTAGGAATAGATTTGCAGTCATAGCAAAGCGTTAGCCTTGTTTTGTCCAGCAATGGCTAATGCATATTTCAATTTTCTAAAATTTCATTATAGAATTTGTACAACATAAATTCGGTATTTACACATCTTGGACCTTATTTCTTCTTATCGTCTTGTTTCTCCTCTTTCTTTTCGTCTTTCTCATCTTTTGGATCACAATGTAAAAACAGTAATGGTAGCATTCCTAGCAGGCAACCAACAGTCACTCCAATAACTCGTCCCTTTTAATAAATTTAAGTAATTAAAAATAAAATATAAATTTGAAAAATGAATTATTACCATATTGGCAGCAAATCTAGACTTAGGTAAATCTAATTGAAGTGGTGTTAGCTTGGGTTGTTCAAATCCTATTTTTTGTGCAAAAAGCTCGACATAGTAGGCAGAACCTATTCCTAGAATATCAGAAATGGTATTTCCAAAAGCTGCAGCAGCCATAGTTGAAAGTGTTATAAAAGCTCCTAATGTTGCTTCAATAGAATCACCCTGAAAATTATTTTCAATGAAAAACATAGAAAAAAAAATCTTGGTAAAAATTTAAAATATTACATACAGCAATTATCATGATTGAATTGTCAAGAAATCCAAAGCCAATGAAAGGAATGGCATTTGCTACTGACACTGAAATTTTGTTTATTATTAGTTTTATTTGTATTTTTTACAATATATATAAATTATAATCAGTTTCTGAAAAATTGAATTTTCTAGACTGCAACACAGGTATTATCAAATTCCTATTCCTAGTATAATCTAATTTATTTAATTAGAATACGCATAAAAAAACAAAAAAAAAGTATTTTTGGCTCTACCTTGCAAACAGTTATAAGTGAAATTTTTTACAGTGTAAAACTTTAGTAAAATTAAAGTTAAAGTTCTGATTACTAAAAAATGTAATCAAATTTAAATATGAATAATAATGAAATTTGTACGATTTTTCTCACCTCGTAATAAATCTTGTCTGGATGGTGAAGGAACTTTTTCCACTGTAAAATGAAAAACAAATTTATGAAATTGCTAAAAATATTTATTTTATAAATTATTCAGTAATTGAAATAAATGTGTCTGTTATTCAAGTGTATTATTTTCTTAAAGTAATTTGCATGCAGTAGATAATACTGTAGGAAACAAAAAGACCATGTATAAAGCAATTGTTTTGAAGAGTTCACTTTTTAATAAACTTACAGAAAAGTTTTCCATAAAGTAGATAAAGCAGGAAGAGAAAGAAAGTTTATATAATGTTTGTTACATGGTTAGATATTCAAGGTACCAGCGTAGAAGATAGCACTAATACAGAGATGATAAATGTACATTCTTATTGTTCATTCCAGTGCTGAATATTATAGTAAATATAAAAGTTTTAATTAATAAAGTGTTTCAAGAACATTGAGAATATTTAAAAAACAATTACATGCAAGCTTATTAATCTGGTTTTTTTGTCAAGCCATGTAATGAAAAAATGTAATAAAATATTAATTGGAAAATTTTCACCGGTTCAAAGTATCTGATAATTATCATTATTATTATTATCATTATTATTGTTATTATTATTATTGTGATAGTGAATGAATGAATTTAATAATTTAGAAATAGATTGTGAAATGAATTTAGGAATGTAAAGAATATAAAATATGTTGGTTTATATAGTTGCCAAATTTTTATGCCTGTTTGATGTTTTATTTTATCAATTATGAAAATTAGAGCTCCTTCTGCTGGTTAATGCAATTGTTATTTCTTGTCTCATACCATATTTACGAAGCAACCAATCATCAGGAACCTTGCAATAACTGCCTGTGGGATCAACATCTCCTAAAGAAGGTACTCTGCTGGGTCTGCCAAATTTACTTCTCCACCTAAAGGCTGCAAGCTGACCTGATTGATGATAAAATAAAAAAAGGAAAAACTCAATGAAATGTAAAAGAAAAAAGTAATAATGTGAAGCATATAGTAGGGCTACAGGAGTGCTACCAGTATGGGGAAAAACAATGGATTAATGAAGAATAACAAAAAATGAGTCACTGATAAATCATTGTGAGCTACCTCTTCGTTACATAGTAGAAAATTCCGCACTCCTGTTTACAGCATTAATATCATGGTTGGCAAGCTGACGTGCTGGTCTCTCATATTGTTAGTAGAGACTCTTCAGTACAGATATCTGTGCACACAGCTCTCGTACACAGAGTCTTTATACTCTATATGAAAAATCACACGTGAAATCTATGCATGATAATTATTCGAATTGAATGATTAGCATTTTGTTTTTGAAATTATGCTGCTGATTCAACTACACATCAAAGAACAGCATTCAATGTCTATAGACATAACACAAGTGGGTTTGGTAGATGTAATAAGCCATTTAAGTGAAACAAAATGCAAAAATATTAATTTTTAAATCAACCAAAGATCTAAACATCTATGAAAAAAAAAAACTTATAGTCTCATGGAAACTCAACATGGATGTCATTATCAGTTGTAGACTTATAATGCTGTATTCCTATCTGCATACTGGATGATGTTACTTACCTACATACTCAGCCTTGAGCTTTTGAGACTGGCATTCTTGTAGAGCCGTAATCAGCACTTCTCTTTCATCCGGTGTCAAGCGAACAGCCAAATCTTTGGCTTGTTGCTTGGTCAAAACACCAGGAAACGCGTGCGATACCGCTGCCGCACTGCCGAATCTCTGTTGATCGAAAAAATTCGTAACGGCATTCTTGTCAATGCTATGCCTTTCTTGAGTCCATGAAAATCTCTTGCTTTGGTTGAATCTCGTAATACTCTTGATAGAAAGGCAAGTCGCACTCGACTTTTGTAGAGTTGCTCGGCACAACAGTGTAGACACGGAGCTAGACATTTCCGTCCACACTTGCACACTTGTTGAAGTCCAGCAAAAAAAGTGAAGTCAAAAACAGTTCAACAAAGCTCGTTTGTGACAGTAGAAAATTGGTTGAGTGCGACGAAGTGCATTATTGTATGGTTCGGATGACACTGCGGAACATTCGCTCGACGAGTCGATGAGATCGAGGACTGAAGTATGTATGGTTGAATCTATATATGTTCAATTGGAATAGCCTGCTGCTGCTGCCCCTGCGCCTGCAGGACGGAATCCCTCTTGACAACACACGAATACGCGACGTGACACACGTCACATCTCTGACGTCACTATACCACAAAAGCTGAGCCTCCCGGCGGGCGGCGCTGCACCTTATCTCGCTTTCTTGATCGTGCGCCGACCCTACAACTCGATCGGTGTTGGTTATTCTTACACGCGACGCCCTCCTTTCTTTCGCTCAATATTCTAAAAAGGTAAAGCCTCCTGCACGCGCTAGCATCACTAATAATGTGTAACATGCAATTTATTCAAACTTTGTTCGACACGCTTCCTTATGCTCTCGTCTTATTCATTATGAGACTTTCGAACATACATGCGGTTATTTACTTGCGAGCTGCTTATCCCCGCTCGAGCTATAATATAATGTTGAATTATTAAAGGCTTCCCGCTCAACTACGCGATTGGTAGATGTTTAATTATTTGAATTTGTTGCTGACCTTTGCCACTTTATTGTAACACGTTATCTAACGGAATTTCACTAATTTTATACCCATTACTATCATAATTGGAGTTGTTAATTTAGTGATAAATTTTATGACGACTGATGCAATTTCTAATTTCAAGATTTCATGACAATGACATTAATGAGAAAAGTTACAATTATGCGGTATTTGCAGCTACTTTATCGGGTTAAGGCTTTTTGAAATAGGTAAACTTGATATATCAGGTACTAAATATTTGCATACGAAATAAAATCAGTTCTACAGCAACTGTTTCAACACGTTAAAGTGATAATGCATCAACCAAATTTTGTAAGAATAGGAGAAAGTACGTTAGAATCTACGCTCATTAGTTGACTAGTACCTAAAATTGTTTAATATTAAACTTACATGGATATGTACAAGAGAGTATACATTCTTTTGATAGTAAAAAATTGTAACATTTATTTTATGATCAAGTTATGATTAAATATCTCACATAAAGTTCTTAAAATTGTACCACTTAATAACTAAGTAATAAAATAAAATTATCTACTCGTACCGTAAACTTTAAGTGTACGATCCATACTAGCTGAAGCTATAAATTCTGCATTTTTACCAAAACGAACGGAATTGACTGCAGCTGTATGATCATTAAACGTCTTTAATTCTATCCATTGTTTGCAAACGTATATCCTGAAATCAAATACATCGTATTATCAGAAACTATTCGATAATAAAAGTAGATAATTTTAAATTTAATTTTACCTGACATCAGAACCACAAACTGCTAAGTAGGTACCACTTTGGTCAAAGCAAATGTCTTTTACTTCGTATGATTCATCCAACTGGAGTGTTTTGAAGTTTTTCAATTTACGCAAATCCCAAAGTTTTACACAGGAGTCTTCAGCTGCTGTGGCTAAATAATAACCGTTTTCGGAAAAGCTAATGGCCGTAATAACTCCAGAATGACCTGGAAAATTAGCCACATTTGATTGTTCCTTTAAATCCCAAATTTTCACTTGCGAATCAGCAGTTCCAGTGCCGAAAATAAGTCCATCAGGATGAAATTGTGCTGTTGTTAATGGTTGACTTCCTTGTCCAGCCACCTATGATAAATTATTCAAATATAGTAAATTTTCACGTCGATTACTTAAAATCTGCGAATAATCTTAATTAAAATAAAATGTACCTTGGTAAGCAGTCTACCAGACCTTATATCTGAAAACGCCCAACAATGATCGAGAGCTGAACTCAACAAATAATCACCTGTTGGATGTAATGACAATCCTGTGACGGGCGCATCGTGCGTTCGCATGAGAAGTATCGTTTTAGCAGTGTCAACATTCCAAATTCGAATTGATGAATCAGGAGATGCAGTCATTACAACATCTTCGGTGGGATGATAAATTACTCGCGATACCTGTCGTTAAAATGACATAGTAACGTTAGTAAGACCAATTAAAACATAGTGATAATATTTAAATGATAGTTTTTACCTTCTTTGTGTGACCTTTCAAAATTGAAACAATTTGCTCTGTATCTTTATTGAAAACTGTGGCCGTTTTATCTGCTCCTCCTGTTAAAATTCTACTGTTATCTGCACTATGAATATCTAAAGCCAGTATACCAGGATTACTTGCAGAGTGAAGACCCTTGAAAAGAAAATAATAAATTGTATGATGTAACTGTTTCCATTGTATTTCACAGAAAGGTAATAATAAAGATAATAATTAAAGTTAATATACCGGATGAGATGCCAAAGTTTGGAATGATTTAATAGCATCTTGAGAAAGAAGATCTTCTGGCACAGATCGACCTCGTCGTTTTCGTTCTTGTGTAAGCACTGTTGCTTTTTCTTGCAATTTTTGAATAATATCATCTGTTATTCCAGCCTCTTCACTAGGTTGCATGGCTATACCACCAGCCTCTGCTAAAGCCTGTTAATGAAAAAAATATTATCATTATTTATCTATCTACAAATTATGATCTATGTAAAAAAATGTTATCATTCACACTTACTGCCTGTGGCATATTTGAAGCAGATCCCGGTTGTGGTTTCAGTAAAGCTAATGCCTCTTTTACTGAAGTAGATTCTTTAACCAAAAGGGCAGTTTTTCTACATACTGCATCATGTTGATACAGAACATTTAATGTTTCTTGGCGAGTTTTCTGCAAGCGTTGTCTCAGTAAAAATGAGCTCAATACTTCTGCATCGTACTCATCTCGTAAGCCTTTCAAAATGAATGGTATTGATGTTGAACTGGGAGCTTTTGGTTTGCTTGGTACATCTAAATTCAATAAATAAGTTTGACTAAACTTGCTTCATGTCAAAGTATAAATACTAATTAAATTATTCTGAATTCGCCGTTGACACTTACGTTTTATCTCGATTAATTGCTCTACCTGGAGTTGTTTGCCATTGATGGGATCGACTCCATTTTCTGCTACATATCTTGTTATTACACGTTTTTCAAATATAGAGCCAGATACTGGAGACACCACTGGCTCATCCGGCACTTCTTTAGAAACTATAAATAACGATATTTTATAAAGAATTTTAATATTTATGAATAATGAATTATCTTGCACTATTATGTTAAACACGTTTTTTGTTTACTTTATCAAACCGAAATAATTTGATACATAATTACTATCATTTCATTTTTGTAAAATAAAATGAAATAAACAATCTACAAATAATTACAATATCCAACAATTATTAAAAAACAAAAATATTCACCGCTAAGCATAAATATAACCCTATCTTGTGCGTAACTATGACATTTTCGGTAACTGTTTAAAAGTATTTTATAATTTATGGATTGATTAAGGTAATAACATATCTTAGGAAAATAAAAAGTGCATACAATTAATAATACTAAAAAATTTTTCAACGAATAAATGCAATTTTACTTACGCGCACACTGTAACATTTTCGTCGGCTCTCGGCTGTTAATTCAAGACTGCCAACTATATGGCACAAGTGGCAAATCACATGGCAATGTATTGTACCGCCACACTTGCCAAATGCAAAGTTGTTATTTGTCTGTTGTCTCATCTAAATTTTTACACGGCCCCAAATTGTCAGTCTGGTTGTCAATAGATCTGATGAATCCATAGTTTTTCGGAGATGATTTTAAGCAATTCGATAATTTCATATCTATAATGTACACTTTATTAAGTGGATTGTACAAGTATTTAGTCCAGAAAGATGAGTATTTTATACTTATACTAGGATTAGATAATGCTGGAAAAACGGTAAATTTTGCAAAAACGTATGATTTAACCTCGTTATTTATATTTTTTATTTGTGATTATTAAATTTTAGACCTACTTAGAAGCAGCTAAAACTAAATTCACAAAAAATTATAAGGGAATGAATCCCAGCAAAATAACTACCACTGTAGGATTAAATATTGGAAAAATTGACATAGCTAATGTGAGACTTAATTTTTGGGATCTTGGTGGCCAAGAAGAATTACAGTCCCTGTGGGACAAGGTATATTGAATTTTAATATTGTTAGATTTTGATTTCATTTTAAAAATATCTCATTAATTAATTTTCGATGATTTGATAGTATTATGCTGAATCACATGCAGTTATTTACATTGTTGATTCATCAGACAGAGATAGAATACCTGTTTCAAAAGAGACTTTTGGTTTGTATCAAACATTGGAAAGAACTGTTGGAACAAATTTTGTAAAACTGTTTCATTTACTAAACTGATGCAATTTCAGATAGAGTTATTTCATCAGAGCATTTGCAAGGAGTTCCATTATTAGTATTAGCTAACAAACAAGATATTCCTGATTGCATGGGTGTGCGAGAGGTAAAGCCAATATTCAATCAAAATGCTCATTTAATTGGAAGAAGAGATTGTATGGTTATGCCTGTTTCTGCAATTAATGGGTAAGGGTTTGTATTTTGTTTGTTTGTAGTGTTTTCCAAGCTAACTATTTATTTTTACGCTATAGTGAAGGAGTAGATGAAGGGATTCATTGGTTAGTTGATTGCATCAAAAGAAATAGTGAAATACGGCCTCCTCGAAATCAGGACAATAATTGCTTAACATGAAAATCATTTTGCATTCCATTACTAATTAATTGCATAGTCTATAAGGTTCACTGTATTTTTTACTTATTATAGAGATATATTTGTACCTAAAATACAATTTGTTGTGTTTTATACAGTTTGAAAGTTATTATTATTTAGTTGAAATCTTCAATTTGATAATTTCTTAAATCTAAACTACATACAAATTATTTTTCATTTCAACCAGTTTTCAATAAACTTAGTCATTACATCAATTAACGATTAATCAATATTCACTAACTATCTTCAAGTATCAGCAATAATTGTATAATTTGTTTTACAAATAATATATATGATTGATGAATCTGTCATCTAACAGTTGTAAAAATCTAAAATTAAAATAAGCATTAGAGAAGGCAGCATCAGGTTGGTATCAAAAAGCTATATAGTACACAATTGCTGATAGCACAGCGTGTATTGAGATAAGAGATAAGCTGTGGCTCCTCCTGCTTGGCTTTCTATTATATTAGTGATAATTGATAAAAGGTGTTGTATGCCACCTTTATGCAGTGATACACCAACTGTACGAGGTAGACGTTATTTTTTGTGTGTAAAACTTGTCTAGATTTTGCTTGCATTCACGTATTATGTGGCCTTATTATGAAAACGACGATTGGAGCATTCTTCCACCTGAGCTCAATAGACGGTAAGGCGTATAATCTATTTTTTAAAATACCGATAAAATTGGAGAAACATCAGCATTTATCATTAACATGGCTGATCACCGAAAACAATGGAACTATATATATCTCATGCTTTTGCTCTTTTATGCAATTTTGAGCAAAGAGTAACGTAATTCTTATTTCACTTGGCAGTGACGTGTTTATTTATGCTTATTAAATTTATGCAATGATGAAGTTTTAAACGTTTATGCAACCAGAGAAAGTTAGTAAGTGCCTAGCTCTATTGCTTGACATTTCAAACAAAATAAATAAATAAGATATATATAAAAGCTATCTATACAAGTCTGAATTGACTTAATGTGGTTTCTCATAGTGTTACGCGTCTGTAATCTGAATCACATGCAGGCTTTCAAAAATCATCGTTATATTAAATAAATGAAAATATGAAGATTATAAATGACGTATGAATTAGTCATGCTCGACTTCGTTTTGATAAGTCCTTCCGGTGATACGCAAAAATAACATTAACATATTGATTCTGTACAGATTATTATTTGAACTTTAGCAATTTCGAACCAATTAATGTCTACTGAAAATTCCCTTTCATTATTCGATATTTGTTACTGTTAAAATGCAAAATCTGACCAAGCTTCCTAAACAAAAAGCATAACAATATATGTAGTTCATGAAATATCATGAATACGTATGTATTCGAATGGAAATGGATTATTGTACGAGGATTTAAACTTGCTTTGCAAAGATATTTATTTATCTTTCTGCAATAGCGAATGTGATTACGATAATAGCGAAAGGGTCATTCGGATTTTCCCGCGACAGTTGCCGGCGCCACGTCCGTAAAAAAAGGCGAGCCGTGTGGCGGCGGCAACGTTGCATGCGCGAGTGTCCAGCACTGCCCCTGCATCTTAGGGTCTGTCTCCATAGGGCCTGCCTGAGTCCGTCCGAGCCGGCCGAGATTTTTTATGGGCACGCCATCTCTATAATTTCGTATCCAATGGCGAGTTTCATAGTGAATGGCTGCCTTTACATAAACGAGCCCGATCGGACGCAGCCAATACGAGAAACGCATGAACACGAAATTATAGAGATGGCGTGCCCATAAAAAATCTCGGCCGGCTCGGACGGACTCAGGCAGGCCCTATGGAGACAGACCCTTACAGCGAGTGAGTACAAGGCAAGAATGTAGTAGTATGGTGACATGTGTGTAAAATCAGGCAAGTAGTAGTGAGTGAAAGAGAGAAAGAGAGAGAGAGTGAGAAGTGTAGTCGTCGATGAGGCATTAGTCAGAGTGCGAGTGCCTCGTCTGTGGCACCGCCGCGGACGACGACAAACAGCCACCAGGTATTTGTTTAGCCACTGCCGGGTTTCCTATCACACTTTATCCCCACTCCAATACGCTCCGATTGATCAGGTCCCAATGATTCTCTATCGCCATTATAGTGTGACAAAGTTTAAAGGTACATAATGTGTATACTTGCGCTAGCTGTGGCCTGAAATCATCGTTTCTCCGACAATCGCGAGACGAGCGAATAAGTGTTCAAATATGTGTGCAAGAGTGCGTGTGCGTATGTGTGCGTTGGACATTTGCAGACGCGCCTGATGCGGTGAGGGCGCCAAACTCGCGGTAGTGCTGTTCGTCGACGTCGTCGAGGATCCGACGAAGGTGTGCGTACGAGACAGAAAGAGAGAAAGAGAGAGAGAGAGAGGGTCGGATAAGGTGTGCAGGTGGGCGCGTGCCAACGTGTGCATTCAGTAGCCCATACATTTTGATCGCCTCGCACGATAGCTATCTACTTTATTCTTCTTCTGCTTTTTTTTCTTTTGACCTCTCTTTATGGCTCGTTCCATTCTTGACTCGATATATTGTTGTGCAACTCGTCATTAAGCGTGGCACCCGCGACAGCTGTAAACCGGGGCTTTGGCTTTCGTTTTAGAGCACCTGCGCCTATCGATGACAAATGAGCTGTGACGATTGTGCGCGCAAGGGAGAGAAAAAGAGAGCGAGCGAACGACAGTTTATATTGACCTGCTACTGATGTACTGGTTTAAGCAGTTCATTTATTCATACATGGATTTATCTTTAGTTGAACAATGTGATTTTGCCTGTGTGAGTGCTGAAAGCGAATAGAATGAAAATTGATATGGTTGTTATTATGCTATTAGTGAACTATCAATGATGCGTTAGGTTGGCCACTAGTATGGAATAATTTATTCTCTATTAATATTCATAGATAATTAATTAATAAATAGATAGAGCTTTTTTTCTCAAATAGATGTCATGATTTACTGTAATTAATTTGATATTTGTCCATTGAATTTTTGATCACATTTGATAACATGGTCGATGCAGATTAAAATATTAAAATATGATGCATTGTTTTAAAATCACCTTGAAGTCTCTTACAAAACATTTCCAAAGTTGACAGATTTATTTATTTTGCAGATTTTAACATAGAAGAATTGTACAAATAGGTCTAGTAGAGGTACTTAAGCACTGATGTGTTGCCATCTTTTATGATTGAATCTTTTTTCCGCTATGAGTGATTGGTTTTATTGAATGTGTACATGTATAGTTACAGTTCTCTGTGAAACCTAATTGTAACAATCCATTTGTTGGAATGTCTTGTCGTGCTTTGTAGTTCAAAATCAAAGTACTTTAAATGTAAAAATACAAAAATAATAAGAGATTGATACTAATATAACTCATTTAAAGTACAATTATCACTTTACACATTGCCATTGGTATATGTCTAACAGGGTGAGAAGAGCTTAGCAGTTTTCTGTCCAGTAACTAACTGCAAGTCATATTTTGTTTGTGTTTGCAACAACAGTCTGCAGCGACCAAAAATATTAAGATAAAAATGAACGCCTCAGAACACGGGTAAATTATGCTTTTGATTTAATTGTTAAAACATGGAATTTGCTCCATTTGAATAAAGCAATCATTGCGTCATTGCCAAGTGTACAATAATAGCAGATTGGAGTTTTTTTAGTTTTAAGTGTGTATATAATCCAGCATGGGTATGTTGTACTTATTTCAGGTTTAATCCAGCGTTTAACATGGCCTCTATCAAACAAGCGATCAATGAGGCAGTGGAGAGAGGTAGGTTTTTTTTTTGACGACAACCTTCGACAATTTGTACTTTTCTTTTGTACCACTTAGTTATAGCACTATTTTTTTTTATAATCATTTGCACGGCTTTCAATTGTTTCTAAGCAATTGTTGATTTCTGTCTTTAATTTGTTAAAAATATTTTTGAAAATAAAATTTTACAGAATTCATTTAAAATTAATTCTTTATAACAATTATGTAGTCTCCAAATTGTCATAAAGATAAAAGGAAGCTTGTAAGCTCATCTATTGACTTTTTTTTCAATTGTTGAATAATTTCAGATCAAAACAAAGTCATGATATAAATAACATATGTTAATGCAAAACATGCAAAATATTAATGTATTTCATTTTTAAATTAAAACTTGTAAAGAAATCATTTGGTTCGAAAAACAATGTCATTACCATAACTCTTTCAAAATGCCATGCACCTAACACAACGCTCTCATCTAACCACACTGTGCACTGATAACATATTGTTAATTCCAAGTTTCAACAGTGAGAATGCCGGCACCAACACGTTTACGGGATCTCATACGGCAAATTAGAGCGGCTCGAACTGCTGCCGAAGAAAGAACGGTTGTCAACAAAGAATGCGCGTACATTCGTTCCACATTTAGAGAGGAAGACAGCGTTTGGAGATGTCGCAACATTGCTAAACTCTTGTATATTCATATGTTAGGGTACATAGATCATTTAATTAATTTTTTTCACACGATCGTTATTGTTCAATAATAGTTATTTTATTCGTAACGGTTACAGATATCCAGCACATTTTGGTCAGCTAGAATGTTTGAAATTGATTGCCTCACCAAGGTTTACAGACAAACGCATTGGATATCTCGGAGCAATGCTTCTTCTCGATGAAAGACAAGATGTTCATTTGTTGATCACAAACTGTTTGAAAAAGTAAATTAACATTGACGTCACATGTGCGAAAATGAATTACAATTTTATTAAATCAAAATTTTAATGGTTTACACAGTGACCTGAATAGTTCTACACAATTCGTGATTGGTTTAGCTTTGTGTACTCTTGGTGCAATAGCTTCTCCAGAAATGGCACGAGATCTTGCGGCTGAAGTCGAAAGATTGATGAAGTCGCCAAACGCATATATCAGGAAAAAGGCTGCGCTTTGTGCTTTTCGAATAATCAGGCGAGTTCCAGAATTGATGGAAATGTTTTTGCCAGCCACGAGAAGTCTACTCACTGAGAAGAATCATGGCGTACTTATAACTGGAGTTACGTTAATCACAGAAATGTGTGAGAACAGCGTGGATACACTGAATCATTTTAAGAAGGTGGGTTTGTAGCAATTTTAGCTGCTTCACTCTATAGATGAATTTTTTTGTCTGTGTAATGCGCAAAATTAGATAAATTAGATGTATTCGCTCTTGAAAATTAGTAATGTCTTGTATTAAATATGGTTCATTTTTTATCGATGCAAGACATTTGTTTATTATTTTTTTGGTTTATACATTTTCAAAACTATAAAATATGGTTTTGTCTTATTTAGGAATGCGGCCATCGAGAGGTAATTGCGAAATGCTAAGTGTTTATTGCATGACTCGCTTGGCGTGACGATGTATCGGCTTTGCATTTTATATCTTTATAAGTTTGTTAAAATCTATTACTTCATTGATCACAATACTGTTTCTACGTCGTCATTCTTAACATAATTCAATTGTTATAACAAACATATACGTTGAACAGTTCGTTCTAATTTTTAAAATAATTTGATATAACTTCGTTATAAATTCAATTAAAAATTCATTAAAATGAAGTGCACGTTAATCAGGCATATTTACACGGAATTCTTTTCAATTATTCAATATCTACCTACCAGCGCTAATAATCAACTTCAATTGCAAAAATTGTTTGTAAAATTCATCGCCATACCGTGCAAAATTAATGTTCACAGGCGTTTTCTTTTTTATTGCACTATATGTAATCCCGATGATGAATATGTTAGAAATATAAAAATCAACGTATTTTTATTTTTTCCTTTACAGATAGTGCCAAATCTTGTCAGAATCCTGAAGAATTTGATACTTGCCGGTTACTCTCCGGAACACGATGTTTCTGGCGTGTCAGATCCATTTTTGCAAGTGAAAATTCTGCGTCTCTTGCGAATTTTGGGCCACAATGATGTTGACGCCTCTGAAGCAATGAACGACATTCTCGCCCAAGTTGCTACAAACACGGAGACAAGTAAAAACGTTGGCAATACCATTTTATACGAAACTGTTCTGTCCATAATGGATATCAAGTCCGAGAGTGGCTTGAGAGTATTAGCTGTCAACATATTGGGTAGATTTTTGTTGAATAATGACAAAAACATTCGCTATGTTGCTTTGAATACGCTATTAAAGACGGTTTATGTCGATACTAGTGCTGTGCAGAGGCATAGATCGACTATTTTGGTCAGTGTCTTTTATAAGTGAAATATAGTTTAATGACTGTAAAAAAATTATTCTTAATGGTAATTATTTTATTTTAGGAGTGTTTAAAAGATCCAGATGTGTCGATAAGACGTCGAGCAATGGAGCTGAGCTTTGCTCTTGTCAATTCAAATAATATTAGAAATATGATGAAAGAGCTGTTACTATTTCTAGAGCGAGCAGATCCAGAGTTCAAAGCTCAATGTAGCAGTAATATCGTTATGTCCGCGGAACGATTTGCCCCTAATAAACGATGGCATCTCGAGACACTTTTCAAAGTTTTAATTGCTGTAAGTAGGGTACTTTTTTTTATGAAACCTTTTAGCTTTCAGTATATAATTTATAAGATTTCTTTTATTTTGCACAGGCTGGAAATTACGTTAGAGATGATGTTGTAGCTTGCACCATACAACTTATTTCCGAGACTCAGTCTCAACAAGCATATGCCGTTAGTGCTTTGTGGCGAGCATTAGAAAAAGATACGTCCGATAAGCAGCCTCTAACGCAAGTTGCTACGTGGTGTATAGGCGAGTATGGTGATTTGCTTTTATATGGGCCACATCCCGAAGATGCTGATGCACCGGTCGACGTAAGTGTATAACTGTTGGTTTAATAAATTAAGAAGTAATTTGAGAGTTACAACGTGCTTTTTTTATTCTCGTAGTTGACCGAAGAGGACGTTATTGATGTGTATCAAAAATTGCTTTGGAGTCCTCAAAATACAATTGTAACAAAGCAATACACGTTGCTGTCTCTAATGAAACTTAGTACACGATTCCAAAAAGGAAACGAGTAAGTCGAATAGTGATAAAAATGCCATTGCACACACATTCATTTGAAGCACCACTGTCACTAATGCTTTATCGTGTGTAAATGCATTTTTATATCCTATCTCTATAGTAACGTTTTTTGCAGTACGCTACCTCCATTTTTCAGGAAAATCCGTCAAATTGTCGACACATTTGGTAGCAATTTGAACATTGAATTACAACAACGAGGAATCGAATTTTCGCAATTATTTAGAAAATATGAACACATGAGACCTGCATTGTTAGAGCGAATGCCTCCAATGGAAACAGCGAGACCACAGGCTAATGGGATTATTGGTATGGTTAATGGAGAGCCGGAGTCTGTAGAGGAGAAGCCTTCATATAGCGAACCTGTAAATACTGCACCCTCATCTGATTCAGTACGCTCTTTATTATTACTTGAAAAATCCACAATTGTTTTATAGTTAATTAACTTGATTTTTCTAATTTTTGTAGAGTGCTCTTTTGGATTTACTTGGTAGTAGTGATTTAAGCTCGCCAGTTTCAACTGCGCCTGCTAGCAATATATCTGTTACTTCGACACCTATTACGAATAATAATGATCTGCTAGACTTGCTAGGAGGTTTAGACTTATCCACACCTACCCCAACGCCAACAGTACCTCAACAGCAGTCACCACAACGGATTTTCAGTCCCACAAGTACCTCTAATTATCTAGTAGATGGTTTATTAAACTCTTCGTCTATGCCAATACAAAGTGGTAAAATTCAACAAAATATTTACATTCTTCATCTCGCATCGATATATATATATATATATATATATATATATATATATATATATATATATATATTTAGATCATTTGTCATTGGTATTATTCCAGTTCCAGAGGCACCCAGTATGATCGTTTATGATAAGCAAGGTTTGAAAATTACGTTTAGATTAGAAAGACCAATGGACAATCCAGACTTGTTAGTAATAAATATGGTTGCTAATAATTCAGGATTGATGGAAATCACAGATTTCTTATTGCAAGCTGCTGTTCAAAAGGTACGAAAAGAAAAAATATTTCGCTATATGCATTTGAATCTTAAAACTTGATGTAATATTTCAAAATTTATCAGACATTCCAATTAACAATGTTATCGCCGTCGAGCACTTTACTTCCTTCTTCCGGACAAATTACTCAAGTATTGAAAGTTAATAACATAAATAGGGTAAGTTACTCTTCTAATTATTTGAAATTGCAACTTGTAGAAAATAAATGTAATATAATTTTTATTTTTTAATTGTAGGGAGCGTTAAAAATGCGCCTTCGTATATCGTATAAAGGACCGACTGGAGTCGTCCTCGAACAAGTTGACGTGAACAATTTTCCCCAAATAACGGTGCAGTGACAACTCGTCATGCCGAAGCCAATTGTATATATGCCTGCCTAAGAATTTAAGCGTGTCTTGTATAGACTGAAGAAAAAAGTAAATATACCAATCTCGCAATTACGTCGCTGCCAGGAACACGATGCCACCATAAAGTTCGACAAAGACGAAAGCGTGCAAGATGATTCTAGTGTATAAAAAAACAAAGAACATGAAATAAATTGATTGATTCTTTGCAGTCTCTTCGCGTCGATCAGGCTCAAAGTAATCGGACTTATATGTATATTTTAAAAGGTTTATTCAAATACCGTGGATACTGTAGTCGTTTCATTTTTTACTTTGTAATTAACGATATTGTGAAAAAAAAACAAAACAAGACTATAAGTGTACATATTAGCTAGAAAAGCGTTCGCGCGAAGACGATCGCAAGACTTGACAGAACATAAAAACATGAACTATTCTTTTTACTGTTTTCTTACGTGAATCGTATACAACATCTTGAGAACGCTCCATGCTTTCGCGTAAGCTTTCTTAACAATTGTTTAACTTCCTTTCTTTTTTTTTATATATATGTTGTATTTTTTTGCGTTTGTGAAACAACTACGCTCTGCTATATATTGATGGAACGAAAAATTCGATAGGATTCATTGGAATGCGAATAAGTGTTTTTTAAAAATGAAAATGCTGGAGAAATGAGTAGCGTTTATATATATTTTTGAATACGTTATAATTTGTCGAACATTGGAGAGCTGTTTACTATTTAGAGTCTATCTTGTTTGCTGTAGTACAGCGTCCGTGTTGGCCCATTTAGCGATTCTGTATTTAGTGTGTGAATTGCATATTGTGATAAGTTATATGCGCGAGATTGCTGTTATTTACAAGCATGTGAATTGTGTACAAAAGTGAACGTTGGCCAGGGATTAAATTTTCATTTTTGTTAACCACATGGTGCTACAGAAAAACGTATTGTTTACTACGATGCAAGATCGATTAGAAAAGCGTAATTATTTCTTTTACAAATTGTTGCAATACATTATGAGTGAAAAAAAATTTTTCGAAAACACCACTTATCCAGTTATAAAAGCAATTGCACTTAGCATGAGTACTTTAACGAAAAAAATAGTAATCAATTTATACATATCTAAATTTCGTTTTGGAATTAAACTATGCTTTGTTTTCGATTACAAGAAAATATTTAGTATCTGAGCTACGTACACTGTGATAAAATATGGTACAGAGACAATATGAATGATGCTGATAACTATACTAATGTATATTACTCCTGCTGTAACATTTCCTTTTCGCTAATTATATTAATTTGATGCTTTTCCTGCATACCATATATTATTCTTTGAGATTGCCTTGTACTTAAAATGTAATGTTATAAAGGTTATGCAAATGTTTAATTCTTACCTAAAAAATGAGCGGATAAAAAATAAAAAACTTTGTTTTGAATAGTTATTACAAATGATTGTTTTATTTATTGTATTTTACGTAAATTAATATCATTTAAAGGCCAAGAGTATGATAGAAATTGTCATTATAATGTTTTAGCTCCGTCCTTGTATAGTACGAGGGATTAGATGGTTATGTGTGTGTGTGTGAAACAGAAAAACCATTGACGAGGTAAAAATGCAAGTATTTTGAGGCCTTCACTTTCAATATGTATAATCAGAAACAGCTTTCCAACGTTGAAAAATAACTCCGCCTACTTGTTCTTCACTAATTGTGTTTTATAAATATATAAATATATTTACGTAAATCGATAATGAAAATGATTAATGATACAGAAGCTGTATATAATTTTTAGTGAGTCAACGTGTGAAAATAAAGTGTATTTTTATTCCACTAATGGGTCTCATTCATTTGAAAATTATTTTTATTACCTAGTTCTCAAAGATACATCAAACTACGACGTATTATTGTCGAAAAAAAAAATTAAATAATAATAACATCCAATAACAATAAATATTTATCGGCGTATTTACTTTGAAGTGCAATAGATGACATTTAGCAAAAGTTTTTCTTCCTTATTAAAATAGAAACTTATCTTTTAATGAAAAAATTACAAAAGCTTAGTGCTCCATACTCCTTTCTCCAACTTGATTGAAAAGTCTGTCTTTTATAATTTGAGCCATTAATCCATGAATCACTTCAATCGTGGTTTTGCTGCTATCTCTAGTAGCTTTGACTAATTTATCCACAGTCCTAGTATCGTGGGGTTCTGCTCCTCCGAAAACAAAACCACGTCCTAAGGCTTGTTCAGATTGTTCCAGTTTATCAGATAAGTCAAAGATCTGTCCTGTTGTGTAGTCAGTATTAGTTAACAAGCTGGATGAGCTCAATGTATTGACCCAGTACTTGTTCCATAAGGAATCCAATAACCTTCTATCTAATGATGACTTGAAATATGTTACTTCCAGTGAATAGTACTGTTTGCAATGTACACCAAAGTCTTCAATTTTGTTCAATGGTATTGTTTGATATTCTGATGGCTCTTCATTTGCTGGTTTATATCCCTATTAGAAAATGATGTATTTCGATGAAATGCACATTTTAAAAACAGATACATTGAAAAATATTGTTGCTAAAATCAAATGAACCTTTGGATATGTTCTAAAAGCACCTAAACAAACTTTTCCAGCTGATATTGTTCTTACAGGATCAATAACAATAGCCACAAATGGTTCTTGGAAGTTTTGATTCAACATTTGTGTGGATACATCGATACCTGAGAGCCAACATCCATAACCAGGATGGCTGTGATACCAACCAATAGCATTTTCTTGACGACCAACCTGAAAAAGAAAGAAAGAAAGAGATAGAGAACAAGAGAGAAAGAAAGTGAAAGAGACAGAAAGTGAAAGAGAGAGGAGAAAGAAGTAGGCATACAATATAAATTTAATATAAACTGGCATTCACTTCAAAAATATAAAATCATACTTGTTTAGCAGCATCAATGTATGCTGTCATGTATTCATATGCCTGAGCTTGTGCATTAACTCTAGTTTCTGTTCCTTCCACAGGTAGAGCAAAAGAATCCATCACAATCATTGTATTTGCAGTTACTTTGCCAAGAAGAAGTCCCATGACCTCGAGTGATCCACCAGATCGGGCATGCATAACCATTTTTAATAGAGCTAGTGCAGAGATTTTGATATCTTTGAAAAAATGTGGACTGAAATAATCGATGAAATATTAAAGGGACTTGTGGTGAGGAGTCATTAATGTTTCAAAATAACAATTTGAAATATTCTTACTCTTTTTCCCATGGTTTAGCAGCAAGAATGTCTTGTTGTTCTTTTCTATCATATCTATAAATCTCATCAATAGTGCTGATTGTTTCAACATTATTAGCCATTTCCCATGTTTTCTGTGCAGTAGAATTCTGATCGTTAGAAAAACCTGACATTGCTGCAATTTACGATGTTTTCTTATTAACCTCACAATTTGAGTCAATCACTTATTGAAAAATGTTCACGTTGCTGATTTGTTTTACTAATTTATAAATATAGCGTAAATATAACGTTGATTTATCGTTCTTTATAAATAAACTAAACTATTTATAAATAATGTAACCTAAAGTTAAACCGATTGTGTTAATACAGAAAACAGTAGAAAACGGGAAACAATGGAATGTCAGATGGGCATGGGAGTTGCGCAAATTCAGTGCCGTCAGTTCCATATTAGATAGCCCACCGCCATCTATAGTAAAGGAAAGGAAAGTAAAATCAATTCAATAATCAAATTCCATAGTTGATTCAAATTTTAACACTGTGATTAGCAACCGATGCGAAGCCAGCCCGTCACAAATAACATTTTAGAAAAAAAAATGATCACATCTCACGTATGTCTAATTGTACTTCTCGAAAAAATAATTATTTGTTATTGTACCATTATATTTCTCATAAAAAATAAGAAATATCCTTATCGATATTTCACCTCCTATTTATTCACATAAAAGACATAATTAAGCAAAAATAAATTCACAGAAAAATTGTACCTTCTGTAGTCTAAATTGTACCATCAGTACAATTCTATAAATTTGTTTCTAAACGAAATAATAGGACAATTACAAATTACCACTATTTGTTACATCTTACAAGGATGTCATCCGGAAATGCACTTTGCGCAGGCGTAGAGCTTTAAACAGCGGAAAAATTTTGAAACCAACAATATTACATACATAAATTTATATAAATTCAATTGATGATTTAGTATAGAAATAATTTAACTTGTCAGACAAAATAATTTTCTTTCATCTAGCTAATTATTTTTATATTATAAACCTCGAAAATCATTGACAAAGAGAACGATAACAGCTGCCCCGATTTGATTTCATGCTAATGCTTACTTTATCCAGATATAGCAATTTAAGGACAACTGTACCTCATTCATCGAACATCCGACTTAATTGTACCGCAATTAGTTTTTCAAACAATTAATTTGTTGCTTACTATTTATCGATTATTAATGAAGAATTTTCGATGCAGATTCGAGGTTAGGTACACCCAACGTGAATTGAATCGCGACCCCCCCAGTTAGGAGGACTGTGAAGATGGCCCCCGGGTTTTTATGGGAAATTGCTAGCGAAAATGGGAAAACGGCATTAATTCTGCTAATTGTCCCTGATACTCGTAGTAATTTCCCATTTTCGATTAGTCAACGGGAAATGGGTGAAAATTGGCATTTTCTCCTGACACCGGAAGTGGCCTCTTTCTTCTTATTTTCTATACTTCAATAAGTACTTTAATATATTGAAGTATTTCTATAATATGCTACAATGGATTATTACTTTATATTGTTAAGAAGAATGGAAGTAAAATTAAGTTCGTTATTAAATAATTCAACAAATATAAAACTAAGCTATAAGTTTTTGATCAATGATAGTTTTTTTTCAATTTTAACTAGTCAATTCAATTTTTTTATTACTTTGTTCAGAATTATGTTATTTTATATAGTTAAAATATTAATTATAAAATTGGCATGTTGACAAACTTATAGAAAACCTTAGAAAAAATTATTTATGTATATGTACATAAAATGTGAATGGGTAATTGAGTAGAATTTGAATTACTTATTATTATAATTACGCAATGTAGAACTCATATAGGGATATCTGGTGATTAGCAAACGTTTGACCTGTTTTATCGACTAACTGCCGCATATTACTAATTTTTACATTTTCCTCAATTTTGGATAGAATATCGACAAAAGGAAAATTGTTTCGTAATCCGGGAATAAGGAGCTATCATCCGCTATCGATATTATTTCTTTTTAAACAGGAGAAAAATGTTTAATGCATTTTGCGCGCTGTACGAACGCCCGATTTTTTTTCGCAATTTTCTTAAAAATGGAAAATCCGGAAATAAAATTTCAAGCGGAGACATAATCCGGAAAAAGGGAGAAAACGTTTTAGCTCATGAAAACTCAAAAATATGATTAACAAATTTTTTTGGGCGTCAGATTCACAAGTCTGCCTTGTGACAGATAATTAAGATAATATAGCAAACTTGTCAACTGTATACTTTTATTTCGTCTTTACCTTGCAACTTCACTTAGATTCACGCTGTTCTCATTATCATATCGTATAAAAAGTGTTTTATTAAAGAAAATAAATTATATAGTCATCATCAATGATAGAATAATAAAACATCGATTGTTAAAAAAATTATTCAAATGAAATTATTGTTATTATGTTCAGAGTCAAACTGTAAAGTTACAGTTAAACTAACCATTGAAATAACCTAAACAATGTCAAACTGTTTTGCTATTCAGTGATAATTAAAATCAACAAAAGAATTTTGATCTAAGCTGTGATATTAAACTTTCTCATAATCATGGAAGATCAAGCCTGTCCTCGTTGTAAAACAACAAAGTATCGAAATCCATCTCTCAAATTAATGGTAAATGTTTGTGGCCATACACTTTGTGAAAGTTGCGTTGATTTATTGTTCTTAAAAGGTTTGTTAATGAATATATTTGTTTTTGAGGTTGATTATTATTTACAATGCATTGAAACATGTTATCTTATTCATTATTTTTTTAACTTTTAGGCTCTGGTTCATGTCCAGAATGTCACACAGTATTAAGAAGAGTAAATTTTCGAATACAGTTGTATGAAGATTCTATGGTAGAAAAAGAAGTCAGTATTCGAAAGAGAGTTTTACGTGATTTTAATAAAAAAGAGGAAGACTTTGGAACGTCAAGAGAATATGATAATTATTTAGAGGAAATTGAAAACATTATTTTTAATCTTGTTAATAATATAGATATTATTGAAACAAATAAAAAAATAGAACAATACAAGAGAGAGAATAAAGAACAAATACTTAGAAATAAGTCAAAATTAGGTAAAAAAGAAAGTGAATTAGAAGAATTGATTGAGCTTGAAAAGATGCAACAAGAAGAAAGGAAGCTAGAGCTTGCTAAGGAAGAACTTGAATTGAAGAAGAAAAAGCTCAAAGAAAAAGAAGATCTAATCGATGAATTAATGTTTTCAGAGGGTGATGCAAGAAATATAGTCCAAACATTTGCTTCAGCTATCCAAGCTTCTAAAGATAATACCAAAGTAGCTCCTAAAGTTACAGGATTTAGTACTGGAATCAAATTTGGACAACAAGGAAATTCTAATTTTCTTCCAGTTCCGAAAATTGATGATGGCCCTGTATATAAGTATGTTCCTATTATACAGGAAATAGAAGGTCCTACTCCTCCTGCCAAGAGAGACCTTGTAAAAAAAGGATATATCACTTTTGTTCGTGCTGTAACTGACGCAGAAAAGGCTGGAGGTTTTGCTACTAACTATTCTTGTCTGAGAGCATTGCAAGAAGCAATGGCAGGTTTATATACTAATCCATCTAAAAAGTCAGAGGAAATTTCAATAGTTTAGTTATAAAAATAAAAACAATGTTTTTATATTATTAATTAATATTTATTGGAAGATTATTTAGAGATGAAAACAAATTGTTTATGAAAACAAGTCAAATATTTCTATAATGTGATAAAATTACTTAATTACATTCAACAATCTTTAAAATAGAACTATATACATTATTTGTATTTATTGTTGTGATTCTTCAGGTATTACATTTACAAGTTTTTGTAACAAATAATTGTCAATGACTGCTTTTGCTGAAACAAAACAGAACTAGACGAGTAAAATATTTTATATTGTTCTATTTAACAGATAAATATCAATACCTGTTGTGGAATTTTTAAGAATTGCAGCTTTATATGCACTAAGTCCATAGACATTTGTAGCTGTTAAATTTGCTCCTCTTGTTAAAAGCTCATGACATACATGAGGATGATCACCTTGAGCTCCATATATTAAAGGTGTATTCCCTTCCTAAACAATATTATTCTTTGATTTAAGTTTTATAAGCGATTTTTAATCGTATAATGTACACAAAAAATGTATAAATTGTATAAAAATTATTTTGATTATAAAATTTGAACTGGAAAGGAAATTCAACTATTTTTCATTATACTTACGTCTTCACTTGCATTAGGATCAGCACCATGATTTAATAACATTTTCACAACATCATGATGACCATAAGCTGCAGCAAAATGCAATGCAGACTGGCCATCAGATCCTCTGTAATCTTTATCTGCACCAGCTTTTAACAATAGCCTCACACTATTCAGTTGTCCATAGCCAGCTGCCCACATGAGTGCTGTCAAGCCATTTTCGTCTGGAATGTCAATTGATCCTGCAATCAATCATTAAATAAGTTATTATTTCTGAAAATGCTTTTTTATATAGAATATACTAAAATAACCTGAATTAATATTGTCTTCTGTAAGCTCACCCTGGCCAGCTAAAGTATAAAAAGTAACATTGCTACCATCCTTAGGTAACAGTATTTCAGTTTGTGTATTTCCTCTTTGTAAATTTGTTAATAATGTTGGAGGCTGAAATATTAAAAGTTTCATAAAATTTTATGTACAAAAGAAAAATATCATATTTAAAATTACTTTTACTATGAATAATAAAAAGTATATTTAAAGAATGTAAACAATAAATAAAAATTTTAATTCACACATTAAGTTTCACTACCTTATAAGGTTGAAATGCACTTGTTCGTGTATCATCTTGCCAAGCTCCAGGTGCCCATTGTTTTTTTTTATTGATAGGTTCTGATTTACCACTTGGAGCAGCAACATTTCCAGGCCTACATGGCCTAGGTCTAATACCAATGGGTGAACTTGTGGGTTTATCAGGTAATACTGCACATTTTGATCCCTTCGGACTTTCAGGCGGGTCTTCCATAAATTCATATTCTTCGTCTTTCATCGTAATTAATTATTAACTAATTCTTTAAAGCAAAACAATACGGAATAGTATCGTAATATTAAGTCTTCTTTAAAAATATAATCTAGAATTCAAATTCATTATGCACAAGTTTCTAAATTGGAATATTTAGAATCGTGTTGATCCTTCCCTTTCCAGTCTTTCCAATCAACAATGTCAAAACTGTAGTCATGTGTTTGGAATAACAAACATGGCGGCTGTGATAAAAGGTGCGGTAGTTCAGTAACTCGTTAATGATTTTAATATAATTTTAAACTTCGTTTTTTATATTAAATCGAAAAGTTACTCACTCAAACGATAATTTGATACATGTATTTTATTTTTTTTTACGTTTCTGTTCCCGTACAATACAGACGTTGGAGAAATATGGACTAGGTTGTTTGATCATCGACCGTTCATCCAGGGCGAAGTCACATTTTTTTTGCGAGAGTTCCAGGTTATTATATTTTTAACGTTTATATTGATTCAAAGGCAAAGATTGAAACATTTAAAATATTATTTTAAAAAACGGTAAAATAATAATTATTCTAATATTCGTTAGTAAATGTAAAACAAACACATCTATTTCTACTAAACACATTTTAAATAACTACATAAATTATCAATATTTATTGAATGATTTATTTTAGTTAATGGATATTAGTCAGAGATATTAAAAATATTTCACTGGACTTATCATAAAAATGTAAAACAAAAGAACCTGAAAGTATATATTTGTTTCTTTACCTTACAGGATAAAAGGAATAACAGAGAGGAATCTCGACTTCAAGAAGTTCTGCTCTACACAAAAGAACTTGAATACCATAAATTAGATTATACTGAAGAATTAGGTGATAATCATTTGCCAAGTTTAAAAGCAAATGTAGATGTTGCACTGATTATGTGCGATTGTGTTCTGCAAAAGGAAAATGAATTTGATAGTGTAAATATTATTAACAATTTGTAAATTAAGTTGATGGTATTCTACAAAGTTTGTATTTGTTGTATGTTGTTTCAGGAAAGCAAACTAAAAAAGAATAGAGAAATACGTAAATTAGAATGGGAAAAGTTTATAAATGATATGAGTGATAAATGTGTAAGAGTTGACGAAGAATTTCATAGCAAAGAAAAAGAGCTTGAAGAATTTTATGCAGATCTAGAAAAGAAGCTGCATTTAGTTCCTTAATTTTATCAAACACTGCCTGATAATGCCAATAGAAACTATTGAAGATCATCATATTAAAATAAAGCCTACTTCCAAGCTTATTGACTTTGTTAAGAAGATTAAAAGTAATAAGAGTACACCAGATAATATCATAGAACTGCAAAATACTGCAATAAATAAGCACAATTGCTGTCTTCTAACATTAAATGATATTAAGTGGATAAAATCATATATATCTGAATTTGATTCTGGTGAAAAAATTTGGATACATGAGCTTTTAGAAGGAGTTAATATCCAATTACCTAAACCAAAAGTGACACCAAGAAATCCTGAATTAGAAGCAAGAATAAAAAAATTACAAGCTCAACAAGATGCTAGAGACTACAAGGCTATGACTAAAAGTGTTGACTCTTTTAGGAAACATTTACCAGAAGATACTATTGCTTATCAAAGTAAGATTTCTAATTGCAAAAATAAATGTATTTAAAAATAATCTTAAACTGCATTTTTTCCAAGTAAATGCATTGTTTTAATAAATATAAATATTAATATGTATTATTTTTTTAGTGAAAATCATGAATTCACAACTTATTGCAGTTGCTCAGTTTGTATTTTCTGTGATAGCTGGCTTTGCATTTGGTTTCATTGGTCTTGAATTAATCATTGGCAACCTAGACTTTGGCTTTAGACTGCTACTTGGGATAATGTGTGCATTAATAATAGCACTTGCAGAAATTTACTTTTTAGCAAAAAAACTAAGTGAAGATTATGATGATATACCTTCTAGGCCAATATCTCAAAAGTTACATCAAGAATAAAATAATAGGTGTTGTAATATGCATGGTTTTTTGTAATATTCAATCTCTATGTAACATTTCTTTACCAAAACGATTTTATTTGAATAAAACATCTTTTTTTCACTATAAAAATATTCATTTTAATTGAATAAGAAATATTTCAATTCTTATTCAATGTTTATTTTTTAATACAAAATGTTCATTACTCAGTATTAGACAGCTTAAAAATAGAAGTTTAAATATTCAACTTATCTGATATTTTGTACATGTTTTAAACCTTAACACAAACATTCACATTAAAATATTTTTATTCAGACGTCCTTTTGAAACTAAATTATGTTTTAGCATCATCTTCACTTTCACTTCCACTACTTTCTTCTGAAGAATTATTGCCATTTTTTTTATCATTACTATCATGTGTACTATCAGATGAATTTCCATTTTCTGCTTTATCATCACTATCAGAGTTAGATTCACTATCTGATTGACTGTCACTGTCAGAATCAGAAGAAGTTTCTGCATTTCTTGCAGCCATCATTTCCTTGAATTGTCTAACTGTGATTTTTCTTGGCATTATTTCTCGTAAAAATTCTAATGTATCTGTTGTTTGAACTACTTCTGCTAAATGCTTATAATCTAAACTATTAGCCTTATTTGATTTTTTATGAGCTTCTTCAGATAAATAATGTATAAATAATTCCTATAAAGAGAAAAAATTAACAGTTTAATAGTTAACTTTATTATTCCTGATAAAAAAATATTTAAAAAAATGTTATACTGTTGCTTTTGCTACTAAAAAGAGACAGTCTTGACCAATGGCTTCCACCTGCGGTGAACTTTTCATAATTGTTTTAACCCTCGAAATTGGAAGTCTCAATTCTTTTAAGACTTTTGGTGGAGATAATTGTGAAGCAGTCATGTTGTTTTAATATTAATCAGAAAAATAAATAGTTTATAGCTATCGCTATAAATGTAACCTCTCAAACAATACTCTTCCTGAAATAATTTAATAGCAGCATTATGACAAGGGATAATTTGGGTATAGATAATAAAAGTATGATGAAAGTGACATACTTATTATTTCTTAAATGTTAATAATAACAACATGAAAAACATTGATAAATACAATATGTAAATTTAGGTAAACGTGCTCAACTTACTGTAATTTTATAAAACAACCGCTAATGCTGCTCAACTAAAAAGTCCGCAGATATAATATAATTAATTTTATTAAATTTATAAAAGAACAAAGATAAGTATTAAATTTGACTTTTTATATTTAAATATTTAATGAGCGTCTAACCCGGCGTCTCATATTTAGAGTATTGAGACTAAAAAACAGCTTGACCGCGGCTTAACTATTATAAACTGTTTGTACTCTGACATCCGGTACAAAAGAACATATATCTATTAAAAATAGAAATTATTAAATATATTTAGAATAATACATAATGGTAATTTTTAGTTAGTACTAAAATGCACTTTTTAAATATTTATATTTAACAATCAATGATTAGAATATTTTGATAAAAAGCATTAAATGAAAGAAGTAATGGAGTTTGATTTCCGTTATATTTGAACTAATTTAAAACAAATAATAAATTTTTCATACTTTTCATAATGATTTAATTAGTTCTAAATATTTCATTGATTTGGATATGACAATGAAGAAAGTTATTTAATAAATTTAATAATTAACAAATGTTTGTACGATTTTTCAGTAGTTTGAAAAATAAAGAATAACCGAACAGACTGTAGTTTGAAACACCTGCATACATGATCTTGATCAACGACTTTTGGCGGGATTCAGTTGCGGAGTTGTTATTTGTTTTGTTGTGTTGGCCTTGCAGCTCGTGCCGATTATTCAATTGTTGTTAAATTCATTTTTCATAGCCACGTAGAATTTAATAATTTTAGGAATCATTTTTTTATGTTTGTTTGATAACAATGAGTGATACTGAAGATTATGAAGCTCTTCGACAAAAGAATATTGCAGAGAGGAATGCGTTTGTAAGTTTATATAAACTTTTTTGTGCAACTGTAGTTGATTCGTTTTTATCGAATATTTCTTTAAAAAACACTTTTTCTCGGCAGTTAAAAGACTTTTTCAAAGAAATCAAAGAAGATACTGCAGAAATTCATAAGTTAGAGAGTCTCAGGTTAAACATAGTTGAAAAAGAAAATAAAACTCCACGTTCACCAAAAACAACAACGAGAAGACGTAGATCTCGTGTGAGTAGATCACCTACTTTTCAAGGTCCTAAAATACAACTGCAGAAAAAATATAACACTAGAAGTAAGAAACGGAAACTGGAAGGTGAAGGTATAGAAGAAAATGACGATGAGTTATATGATGATAAAGATATAATAGTTCCTAAAAAAAGTTCAAATATCAAAGTCATGTTTTCATGGGCTAGACCTTTACAGAGAGATATAGATCTTATGAAATTTGATGTGAGTGAAGAAGAGAACGATAGCGAAGAGTCAGATCAAGAGTTTTATATACCTCAGAAGAGGAGATCATATAAAGTGTCTAGAAGTACATATGATCCAAGTAGGATCCCATCGCCTGATGAAATTACACCTGCAATGTTGAAAAATATTGCTGATAGAGCTACTGGTAAAATTTATGATACAGTAAATGGTTCATCTTGTCACCAATGTCGACAAAAAACAAAAGATACTAAAACAGTATGTAGATCTGGTGAATGTATAGGAGTAAGAGGACAATTTTGTGGGCCATGTTTAAGAGGAAGATATGGAGAGTCTGCATATGAGGCCCTTCAAGATCCAGTAAGTATTTATTTATTATTTTTTATTTTCATCAACATTTCATTATAAACAGATATCACTTTTGTTAATAGTAGTAAATAATTGCTTCAGTCTAAACTTTTGAATCACTTTAATATTTAGCTTTTTATATTATTTAAAAAAAAATAATATTAAATAAATATATGTATGTTACAGCATTGGGTTTGTCCACCATGCAGAGGAATATGCAATTGCAGTTTTTGTAGAATAAGAAATGGTCAAAGACCTACAGGAATATTAGCACCTCTTGCAAAAGAAGAAGGATATAACTCAGTGAAAGATTACTTAGAAGCTCAAGACTATGAAGACTAGTGTTACATTTTTATGAAATTTTTTATATTTTTATACGAGATGATCTTATGAATGATTATTACATTGTATAGCTGTTAAGTATAGCAAGATTTAACCAATCAATTTGACATATAAATATCTATAGTATGAAATGTATTTAGCTTACAATCAAAGTTGCCATTTTTTATTGTGATATATTAATAAGTCGCTACATTGATTTTATTACAAATTCGTTAAAAGTTTTGATACTGCATGTTTGTAAGCTATAAAAGTTGGAGATATTTGAAATCATTTAATTGTTATAAGTCGAAATATATATTTTGGCTTTTATCAATTATTTGTATTTTGAAATGTTCTGACCTGTATAGTCGTTTTTTATATTAACATTTCAAATGATATTTTATACATGTGAATCAGTATACTTTACAAAACTTGAACTTACCACACTTATTTTCTATTATTTTGTCATCTAAATAAATTTTTGTGTGTGAAGGCAAATTCTTATTAGTTATAAACACTTTTTAAATCAGATTATAATTGTAAAAAGATAACGAATTTCAGGAAATAAAAAACTTTTATATACAATATTTTATGTGCATTTTAATTCACATATTTTATAATCGATTGATATTTTATTAGAACATTAAATTATTGGTACAAATACAAGTTTAATAATTTTTAATATTAACTTTTCATAAAAAATATTTATTCCTAATTAAAAAGCTAAAAATTTCTATTTATTTAATGGATAAAACTAAATCTAACAATTTTGAAAATGGCGAGTTAGGCCCTCGCCACATAGGCCCCGGTACGATATCTACGTATGAATGTGATACGGACGCAAATCGCAACTCTAGTAACATCACTAAAAATATCTAGTTCGATTATTTAGTACCAACACTACCGGTAGTGAGCAAAAGTAACTGTTGTTTAAAACTGTAGCGCCGAACGTACCACAATTTAATGTAACGCCTATCTAACCTTTACATTATTGCAGTCTATAAGGTGACAAATGATAGAGAATTGATAGACTTTCAACTACAATTAGTGGAATTAGGCGTTAATTTTATGGAAGTACTTGAATATATGAGAAGAAGAAGAAAATATATATAAATGATATGTATTAATCATCCCACAAGCTTTTTTTACATTAGCATACTCATCAATAAGCAATATTCATGAGAATTTGAAAAGTAAATTGTAGACTTGACATTTACGTAGCCTCAAAGAATTGTAAATGTAAATATGAAACCGATTGACGAATTGTTATAACAAAATGGTAATTACCTTAAGTAACTAATCAATTATATGTAATAAATTGAAAAATATAAATATTATCCAATTTAGGTTTTATGTCTAGAAGCAAATCTCAAAGTCGTTTTGTTAATAAATATACTAAGTTCAAATTGTTCAACATTCATTCCAATAAAATCTTGTTATAACATAAGATATATGTCTCTAATGTTATAACAATTAGTCCATCCCATATAACTATTTTGTTATAACAATTCGTCAATCGGCTTCATGTTTACATTTACAATTTTTTGAGGCTACGCACAATAAGAATTATGTCTTATCAATTTATGTTGAATTTCGAAGTTGGCAGCACTCAGAATTTCTTGATTTTACGCTTGCTGCGTGCGATTTACGTCTGTATTGGAGAAGCACCCTAAATTTCATTCACACAACACATTAGTAGATGATACCAACATACTCAACAGCGCACGCTTGATCGAGCTCTCCAGCAGCTTCTACTTTACTCTCTCTTGCTTGCGGTCTTCGCTTTCCCCAAGTTCCATCAACAGCCGCGTGTCAATCACCAGGTATTTAAATTTTGTCAATTTTTATCTCTTCCTCGATGACCTTTAGTTCAATTTTCCAAGTGAAATAATGTAATTCTCTTTGAGTTTTATTAATGTGATTGGAGTAAACCATTCTAAAAGTGTAGCACGCGAGACCGATCAATAAAGCACATGGTAACTATTTCAGAGGCGGCAAGTTTTTATTTGTTATTACAAAAAACCGCAATTTCGGTCAATTTATTAACTGAGATTAACAAAAATTTTATTTTTTAAAGTAGTAATAATTGTATTGAAAGAAGGTAACTATACGACATTCTGCTATATTAAAATTGTTCAACCTAACCTATAATCTTGGAATAATTGATTTGCGAAAATCTGTGAATCGAGTTTGACTCGATTCAATGATACAGAAGCTGATAATTTGATATTTCTTTTATAATAACTTTTATTTTTAGACATCAATTGATATTTCAGTCACAAGTTAATTATTTATAGCTACACATTCCTATAAAAGGTAAAGATCTTTTCGTTTTGTTTCTATTGTAGGGTTCTTATGAATCTTGCATCATGTCAACATTTCTTGGACTTATTGAAGAAATACCTGGAATTTCGATTGATTGTTTTAATGGAAAAAATTCAAATTCTTCAGCTTTTTTCTTGAGTCATTGCCATCAAGATCACATGAAAGGATTGTGCTATGAATTTTTTGATAGTTTAAAGAAGAATAATAACTATTTATATTGTAGTCATATAAGTAAAGTTATATTACAAAATTACTTTTTTGAATTAGATGTTTCATTAGTTGATGAATGTATTAAAGAATTGCCTTTGGATGAGGTAAAAATTATAGAATATTCACACAATGGTATTAATAAATCTGTCACAGTATCTTGTATATCATCAGGACACTGTCCTGGATCCATAATGATTTTATTTACTTTCCAAAATATTAGAATACTTTATACTGGTGACTTTAGAATAAATAAACATGATTATTCAAAATTGAAATCTTTACACATTTTTAATGGCAGTGAATATATTCCATTAAGTATTGACAAAATATATTTAGATACAACTTTTTTAAGTCTAAATTTTAGAGAATTTCCGTGTAGGTTAGATAGCTCAAAAGAATTATGTAAAACTGTTAAAGAATGGATAGATCTGGATAAAAAAAATATTGTTATATTAGAAATATCTGCTTTGTATGGTAGTGAGTTTATCTATCGTGAATTATACAAATTCTTGAATATTAAAATCCATGTAAAAGATAATGTTTACAAAGTTTATAGTCGAATAGATATTCTTTCAAACTGTGTTACTAATTTAAGCCAAAGCACACCCATTCATGCTTGTATGAATAAACGTAATAGCATGAAGAATATTTTAGGATTGCAATGTAGACCAAATGTTGTACAGAAAAATATTTTAACAATTGTTCCCTCTGTCTGGAAATGGGCTGGTAAAAACACATCTTGTATAAGTGAATGGGATACTAATAGAAAACAAACTAGAAATATTTGTTATTCAACACATGCATCATATAATGAACTTGAAGTATTTATCAAATATTTTAAACCAAAACATGTTTTTGCCTGTGTTTGTCCTGAAAATAATAAAAAAGAAATTAATGATTTATTACTTCACATTATGCAAAAAATCTATAGAAATAACACTTTAGAAAAATTGCATTCTAAAAAAAATTCGATATCATTTTCCACTCACAAAACATTTTCTAATAAAAAATTTAAATCTTCTGTTTTGAGTGATGATGAAGATACTTGACAAGAGTATTCTTTATACGTTAAATTCATAAAAGTATTCATTTATATATTATCTAATATAAGCAAAATTATAAATTATTTTATATAATTTTTATACATAATAAAAAATCAACATTAGTAAACTGTAAAGACTAATGTAAATACAACCTATCACTAATTTTCAGTTTACAGTCTCTACTTCCATAAACAATGGCAGGTTCAGCATTGGCACAAGAGAAAGTTTGGCTCGACAAATCATCCTATGATAAAGCTGAGTGCATTTATCAAGAGAAATTAGCCAAGGTAATGTTCATAATTGAATAATTCATCATTCATTGTTTTCAAATTCAGTTATCAATATCAATTAAGAATGTCTTCTCATAAACATGAATTTTCTTGATACATTAAAAGAAATTCAAATTTAAGCTCTTATCCTTTTTCTGGTCCCAGCATCCATAAATAGTAATTGCAAACATTTTTTCACAAGTAGTAACTAACTATTACTAACAACTGCTTAAGGGAATATCTGGTGGTTTGAATGCACAAATAAATCTAAAATATTGTTATAAAAATCTTAAGTAAAATACAATGCAGATTAGTTTTGTAATATTATGAGAATAATGAAAAGACTATACATAGGTAGATAAATAAAATATTTTCATTAATGCATTATCACCTAAAACAATTTTTGGCAATCATTTACTTTTTAAACAATTAATGTACATTCATATTCTTAATTCTATAATTTAATTGATAAGATTATTCCTACATATAGGAAAGAATTTTTATTTATAAACAAAAATGTGTTAGCTAGAATATTGGTGTGCACATATTTTTAAGCTAAAACTTTATAAAGGTGCAGCCAAGCAAGATTGTGGATGATATTAGTACTACTTATAAACCCACACCAATCGAAATTCAAGCAACAATGATTTCTAACTCTGTGCCAAAAACTAAATCCAAAAAAACTAAAGATAACAAATTAATTGCACAAGAAAATGTTACTTCTGAAACAACCAAAAATTCTAAAAATTTAAAGAAAAACAGTAAGAAAAAGGAAGAAAATGTTTCAGAGTGTAATAAAAATTATGAAATTGCTAACAATGTTAATATAAAGAGTGAGGATTCTAACATTAGTATTGAAACCATAAGCAATAAAAAGTCAAAAAATAAAGAAGCCAAAGAAAAAAAGCCTAAAGGCGAAAAAAAAATTAGAAATTTAGAAGAGAAAAATGTAATTGAAGACAACAAAGAACAATTAAATAATCAGGTATTGAAATAGTTGAATTAATATAGTTTGTTTGAAAGCCTGATGTATGTGATTTCAATTATTCTCTATTTTTTTATGCCTTTTAATTATGAGTTTTAGTACAACCAGTTAGATTTAAAAAATTCTGTCAAAATGAACAATAAAAAAATGATGTTTTTCAAAATAATTATATTATTTTGTGCTTACATATAATTGTTTGATTCAAAACAATTTCTCATTGCATGGAATTAGAATACTAACATAAATTATCTGCATGAGTTTAAAACAATATAAATGCACATAAATAACATTTTATTCACAATATCAAATTATGTTATAATATTAAAAGTCTATTTGACACTTCATAACTAAAATAGCAACAAACTGATTTGAAACCTTATTTTTAAATTATTATTTAAAAGATTTTTCAAAGTTTGGACCAAAGAACTACAAAGATTTTTTATTATTACTTTTATCCAACAAAAATTTTGTTTTTTTAGGTGATTTAGAATTATCCAAGAATGATTCATGCCTAACTGAATAGACATTAAGCATTGTTTTATTATAATAATATAAAATATATTTTTTCTAACAATTTCTAACTTGAATAATAATGTTTTTTATATGGCTAAAAAATCTGAATATTTGTATTTTGAAATAAGATAAATTCAAGTGACTTACTGTTACATAAATATTTAATTCGTAGCATGTTTATTAGATTATAAATAACCTATATTATATGGAATCTTTCCTTCTTTAATTATCCTTTATTTTTTAACTTCCCCATAGCACTGTCCATTATCCAACTGATAAATCTTTGCTTATATTTGCATGCCAAAAGTTGTACAGTGATATCTGCACTATAATTTATGAAATAGAATAGTGTAATTGTCGTTGTTGCATTTTAGAATTAGATAAGCTTATAAAATCGTCACATTTTTCGCATACTTACAGATGTATCTCCACATGCCCTTTTCAGAGTAAAATATTTATAATTAATAAACAACAAATTTTGATACTTAGAAGTTATGAGAGTTGTATTGCAAATGATTAATTACTTTATCGTTATCAAAAAATGTATCTGTCAAATGATTACAACGAAAAAATGCTAACAGTGGAGATATATTAGTAATTGCGGTAATTATCCTGGTGTGAGTTAAACTTCAATATCGGTGGATGCAGGGAAGTCAACCGTCCGTTTGCTCGATCTCTCCTGCTGGTGGAAGTTTAGCAGACGAGGTCGCCAAGGCTCGCCAACATATTAAACAATCTTTACAGTGTGTGAGTACTACACTCCTAGCTTGCCCTCTTGATTTAACAATATCGCTAGCTTATTAACTTTTTAATATTTATTTCTACTTGTCAAATGTTTTATGATTCGACTCCTTTATCCTATCCTTACAATTTCATTTTATTCATCGATTTGCTTTATTACATATTCCTGTCATCGATTCTTTCATAATTTCACACAAAAATTATTAAATAAAGAACTTGGCATGAACCATCGAACTTTAATTTTTGAAAAATTTTAAATATCGTCTAATTTTGAAAAAGGGTTAAGTTATTTTTATATTACTGTTTGACATATAAAAAGCTTAAAATTAAACACAAATTGATAAATTTTAACTGTATGTTTGTAAATTTTCAATGTTCACGACCAATTCTTATTGAATTATGAGTCTCACCGTAACGGTACCATAAATGCACGTATACAGAGCCTGTCTGTCCGTTGGAGCTTTACGTATTTGATGGACAGCCTCTAAACTTGAGTGCAGTTTGTTTATTGTATTATTTTTTTAAATTGATCTTGTTTTTCTTTTTCATTCCATTATTGTTTGTAGTTCGATAGAGTGAGATAATTTTTTGTATAAAAATTAGTTTTACTATATAAGATCATAATTTTTCCAGATGGACGGAATTGCTGCGTTAGCTGGTATCTCTGACAAAGATGTTGTATCACGGCTCGTAGCGCTAGAAAAGGAAAATCAAGAACTCCGAAATAGTATGTATCTTGCAAAAAGGTTGCAAAATGCACATATTAGTAACGCTTTCTCCCATGATCGCCTCTACCATAGTATCAAAAAAATGTCCATTAATAACTAATCATTAGGAAAATTATTATTTCTCATCATATTAACACTAACATACGATTAGTGTCGTAAAATTTTTACAAACAATACTGTACCAAATCACACAAGAGTCAAATCACATCAATTACTTATATACATATTGTCTCGCTATATATTTAAATTAAGTATTAGAATTCGTGAATCGATATTTCTATCTTTGTATAGTAATTGTTAAGTACTACATTTAATTAAATTATATGACTAAACTGGTCATAGCAGATAAAGGTTTGGTGATTCATGACTATCGCCAAACCATATTTGAGACACTCATTAAAAGTCTTCATATTTTATGTTTTCTGATAAATATGTGTGGTATATCAGTTGTACTTATAAAAATAAGATATTTTCCAACTAAAAAAATCCACTTTGTAAAGTAAATTGGAACTTGCTCGATTTTTTACGTTTTGCCATAATAATTCTTTTTACATTTATCAGCTATGTGTACACTTGATTTAAGTGAATAAATTAACACTCCCGTATAAGCATCTTCTCGATATTGAGTTTGGTCCTTGCTTGCAGATAATCATTCCAAATTAACTCATATGATAACATTACTTAGTTAATAAAAAATTATCATTACTATCAGTCGTTCAAGAACTTAAAAGCACAATCTCAAAATTGGACAACCGCGTAAAAACATTGGAAGGACAATCAGGCCAAGCACCAAAGAGTTCAGCTCCAGCTCCAGTAGCTCCAGCCAAACCAGCTAAGAAAGAAGAAGAAGAAGATGAAGATGTAGATCTGTTTGGCTCAGACTCTGAGGTAACCAATTCACGGCATACGCGTAATCTCAAAACTGTTACGATAAAGTTAAGAGTTGTAAAATAAGTTTGTTTCCAAGGAAGTTATCATGATTTCTTGATAGTTAATATTTCAAAGTTGACACCAGATATTCCCATATGTGTAAATATTACTTGATTATCCGTTATCGCATAATTTAATTCACAATTGTCATAAATTATGTAGATCAATCAATTTATTACTCTAAATCATAAGCCTTAGTTGACAGTACAGTTAAGGTATATTAATTATATTTTGTTTAGATCAGTAGAAATTAGTTTATTTTTCGTTAGTTCCCTTTAAAATTTTTGTTTCTTAGTTTTCATTTAATTACGCATTTAAAAAATATAATAGGGCGAAGATGCGGAAGCAGCAAAGATCAGGGAAGAAAGACTAGCGGCTTATGCAGCCAAAAAATCGAAGAGTAAGTTCATTTTCACCAAAAAGTTAATAAAATGGTACGAAAAAATCAAATTAATATTATTTTTAATTATTCAGAACCCGCACTTATTGCTAAGTCTAACATCATTTTGGATATCAAGCCATGGGATGATGAAACCGACATGAAAGCTATGGAAGCAGAAGTACGAAAAATTAAAGCAGATGGTCTTCTGTGGGGAGCAGGTAATTAATTTCTGCATACAAGTTGAATCATGAGAGTCGATGTTTATAAAACATTTATTCTTTCAGCTAAATTGGCGCCGGTAGCATATAATATCCAAAAGCTGCAGATCTCTTGTGTCGTAGAGGACGATAAAGTTTCTATAGATTGGTTGACTGAGCAAATTCAAGAAATAGATTTTTACGTCCAAAGTGTCGATATTGCCGCTTTCAATAAAATCTAAAGAATGTTTGTTTAACTCAATTTTAAAAATACAACTAAAAATAAGTCTTGTTCAAAATGGACAATGGATGGATATTGTGCCATTATTTTGTTGTTTCATTCCACTAGCAATACCAAAACTACTGCAAATATATTATTTACATGACTTTTACAAATATTTTTAAAAAATAAGAACCTATTTGTTGGAAAACGTGTATGGCATGCTGTGTATTAACTATATAGGGTATAGTTGATGCATCTCAATACTTTTCTATTTCTTGAATATTGTTTACTGTTTATTGTATGTATGAGTTTCAAAAGCGTTTTAAATTTTAACATCATATGTCATTATCCATGCACAAATTATTTCAAGCTCATTTGATTCAAATGATTTGTTGCTTTATGAAAAAAGCTTTAAAGTTTGTATGTATAGTTTGCTATCAAAAAGAAAATAAAAAACAATTTCATTGGCAGAAACTAAGAGTTTATTTTCTTGAAAACCTTATTTAAAAATTCTCAATTTATGGTAGTTGTAATTATAACAATGTAAAATATATTTTAATTTCGTTAATGCTTATTTTAGGAAATGATTTACATTTCAGCTGTCTATGTCATTTATACATATACATGTAATATAAAAATATGTGGCGTATATAAATTTGAAGTTACTCTTTGTTCTAAATAAAACTATTAGTAATTTTATTCAGCTGTTTATACGTAAGGTTGTTTATTTCCGACCAAATGACCAAATTCTATACCGTATCCATTTACAAAGGCGAGCAAGCGAGTTAAACTCGAACTGAATGTGATCACGCTAAAATGGCTCCTCATTGTTCAATCAAAATTCGATTCAAGTCCGATTTTGTGTTAGAGAGAAATCGAGTATACCAAAATAATCAAAACAAATGGGAAGTTAACCTAATGCAAACAAAAATTATATTAACACTGTAGTGAATATATCAATAATTTTTAAATTATCAATAGTGTAGACAGTGGTATAGATACTCATTTATAAATTGCATAAAATATTCAAACACATAGTAACTAGCACCTTTTTGTTTTTTGTTGCGCGCTATAATATTAAAATTAATATTAAAATTAGCTATTCAATCATTTAATTTGAGTGGACGTAGTGAACAAACCTTGTGTGGAGCGGTAGATTTCAGTAGTAATGGGCAATTATCACAAATGTAATCGATCGAACACAATCGATTACCAAACTCTATTCCAATCGATTAATCAGCTAAAATAATCAAAAACAATCGGATAATCGATTAATCGGTGGAAACATTGAAATAATTATAATTTATCCAGTGTTTATTAAATAACGAAATTTATCGAATCCAACTATTATTATTTACAAAGTTCTACTATACAATAATGAAATTGATCATGAACCCAATTAATTACAATAAATTTTTTCATGGAACTTTTATTTTTTGAGTTTAAGTAAAATGAAAAAGACTAGGTGCAGAACGTAAGTGACATACACAAATTGATAATCCCAATATGATCATTTACAACACGTGATAAGCTCAATCACAGGTTTTTGCATAATTTCCATCGAGATCTATCTTTGTCTTTTTGTTTTTCAGTTTTGTTAGTGAATATAGTCTTATCCAGATATTTTAATATTTTCATTGTTTCCAGTGATTTAATCTTCATCCTAGACGTTGAAAAAATGCATTAGTAAAATAAAACTCATTGAAGCTTGATGTATATTAAATTCAGTTAAATTATATTCAGAATACCATAATAAAATAAATATTTTTTTACTTACTACTTCTTAAAATAGAAATGATCAAATAATTTATTATATTAAAAATAAAATCAAAATTATAATCACACATAATTAATTGAATAATTAATTGAATATCTTGGATTTTTCAATGTCACCGGGGTGGGTTGGGATTTAATTGACTAGTCTTCCATAACTAAAAAATTCAAAATAATTTTAGTCGCGCACGCGTAATTTGATTTCGATTTCGATTACGAGTTAAAAATGAATCGAGCTACGATTAATCGGTGGCTCAAATAATCGACTCGATAATCGATTATGTACGAAAATAATCGGACGATTATTAAACATCGATTAAAATCGCCCATCACTAGTCTCCATGCGTAAAACAGAACAGAAGAACATTGAACACCGTACAGAACGTATTTACCAATAGTGCGCGGCATAGGGTTATTATATATATAGTTGATTTTGGCATCGTCAATAGTGACAATACTCAGTGGCATCAGCTCAAAAGGGATTGTTACAAATAGTTATATATTTATATCAACACGTTTTGGAAATACATTTATTTTTCGTTTAGAAAGTTAAACAAAACCCACGGTCAAGATGGCGATGGCAATGTTGCAGCGGCGTGCAAACGTAAGTAATTCTTATAAAAATGAAATAAATAGTTGAAATAACCTCAATATGTACACACCAATTATTTTATTTTCTCATTTAATTTACATTTCATTGAGTAAACTACAGGAGTATACATTATTATAATCATTTATCTATTTATTTATTCAAAATGTTCAGTTATATATTATTAATCATACTAGTAGGATTTAAGCACTAGTAGTTATCCAACTGCTAGTGATTGTGTGTTTTTTACCTTTAATAAATAAGAATCGAGGTAATAAATGCTTTATTAATTAAAACATACGGCTTCCTACAGTGAGTAGAATTAAAAATAATATTGTATTAAAATGATACAATATTATTATTATGGATTTCCATTTTCTTTTTTAATTTTAATTGATTTGAACATATTTTGCATTAATTTAAATTAAAAAGTCACTTTAAGATGACCAGCTGCTTGTATCTATACCTTATTAAGAATATTGTTGCATTGTAATTTCATAACCAAATGTTTTAGTTGTATATTTTTGATTAAAAATGTTTAAAAATTTGTCTTATTACAGGTAAGGTTGCCACCAGAAGTTAATAGAATCTTATATGTAAGAAATTTACCTTATAAAATCACAGCTGAAGAAATGTACGATATATTTGGGAAATATGGTGCCATAAGACAGATTAGAGTGTAAGTATTTATTAATGGAGAGATTCAATCGTTTTCAATGAAGTAAATCGTTTTCAATATAAATAATTAACCTTTATATTTTTTCTTTTAGTGGTAACACAGCTGAAACAAGAGGTACAGCATTTGTTGTTTATGAAGATATTTTTGATGCAAAGAATGCTTGTGATCATCTTAGTGGTTTTAATGTGTGTAACAGATACTTGGTAGTACTTTACTATCAAAGCAACAAAGCATTTAAGAGGGTTGATGTGGACAAGAAACTTGATGAAATAGAAAAAATCAAAACAAAATACAACTTAAATGAGGACAAGAAGTGAAGGAAATATATTGTATTTTCTAAACTCCTTTATTTACAATGTTAAAATACAAATTCACTTGAATATATATTTATTACAACATTCAGTAAATTAGATTTGACTAATTATAATAAATACAGTATATATATATATATATATATGTATGTATATATATATATATATATATTTGTTTCACTTCGGTATACAAATTATACAATGCATTTAGTTAAAACAAGGAAGATTTTTTCAACACAACTTTCAATGTATAATTCTATTTTCAATGTAAATACATTCAAAATTATTCTAGGATAGTACTTACTTATATTTTAAGCTAAATAAAGACTTGAAAATGTAAATATAATTTTTTTCATAAAAGCTATTACAATTTATGTTTACACCTAGTAAAAATTACCAAATGTTTAAGCAAAACAAATGGTTTCTTCGAATCATTTTTCCTTCCTCACTTATAAGCTTAATCAATACTTATGAATTTGCTAATATAGACAATTTTTTCTAGTTTTCATTTATTTCATAAACACTTTTATTTCTATTAACTATAAAAACTTGTAAAATAAATTAATTATGGAAGAACCAAACCCCAAAACTATTTGCAAATAGCTATTCGATGAAAAATGAGTGAAAATCTATATAAATAACACCTACTTGAAAGTTCAAAACATGTAAAAACAAAATTTTTCATATTACTTTTCACATTTTCAAAATTGATTGTATTTACATCAATGTTAAAATATATTCTATTGCCTAATATAATACAATTATGTAAGATAAAATAAATTCAAATAATAAATTTTCTTTACAAATCTTGTGAAATAAAAAAATCTTATTTTTTGTTTGGTGAACCACGCTGCGTCAAACCTTCGAATCGTTTGAATGTGTAATTAATAAATACCCAATCTTTATAGATTATTTCTCCGTCTTGTGATGCAGGCGCTGAAGTTATCTCGAGTTTGACATCGGGAAACTCATCAAAGTTTGAGGTATCGTCAATTGACTTTACTTCTACTGGAATGGCTGCTGGTCTTTCCCTTATATGATCCCAGTCAACTCCACGGAAAAAAGGAGCAAGTTTAATCTCTTCAATACCGCGTTGGGAGCCCAAGCGTTTATCAGCTTCCATACAAAACTTGGTGATAGTATCCTTAGCCTCTTCACTAATTGGTACTTCAGGTGGAAAAACAAGAGTTTCTCTCCAATTCATGACTTTTTTGTATGTTTCTTGTGGATTCTCGCTACAAAACGGTGGATAGCCTATCAGCATCTCATACATAATGACACCTAAAGACCAAAAGTCACAAGCTGGCCCATAACCAGTTTGAAGAAAAACTTCTGGGGCAATATAATCTGGAGTGCCAACTGTACTATATGCTAAGGCTCTTCTATTTCTTTTCCAACTCTCAGCCCTTCTTTTGCTGTCTATTGCGCTGTTACTTCCACCACTGCATGAAGCCATAAAATCGGATGGCTTTGCTTGGCTAAGGTCACGGTAAAAATCAGTTCTGTGAGATTTCTTTAATCCTGTACATAATCCAAAGTCAGACAGTTTAATATGGCCTCGAGCATCTAATAACAGATTGTCTGGTTTTATGTCTCTATGAATGAATCCAAGCTTATGTATAGAATCGATAGCTAAAGCAGTTTCAGATATGTAAAATTGAGTGCAATCTTCTGACAAAGTATCTTTTTTCATAAGAAGAGTCATCATGTCTCCTCCAGGAAGAAATTCCATTATTAAATATAAGTTTATTGGATCTTGAAAACTATAGTACATTTTCACCACCCACTGATGATCAGCTTCTACAAGAATATCTCTCTCAGCTCTAACATGAGCTACTTGCTCTTTTTCAAGCATATCAGCTTTTCGGAGGATTTTCATTGCATACACATGGCCAGTATCCTTTTTCTGAACTAATCTGACTTCTCCAAATGCTCCTCTACCTATCACTTTTAAGGGCTCGAAATCTTCAACCCCAAGTCTAGAGCGTTTTAATCTAAGAAATTCAGTTTCTTTTTGTGCATGTTGTATGCGCTTTTCTTGTCGTTGTTGCTCTGAGAGGGCCTCATCTTTCAATGACTCTTCTAATTTTGCAAGTCTTTGTTTTCTTTCTATATGCTGAGCAATGAGATTGCTATAATAATTTTCTAAGGTTACTTTTGCCTTAGTAGCTTTGTCAAAAGTATGACCACTAAATCTAATGGTGTTATCGGATGCTGACATCTCTAATATATTTTCAAAATTAGAATGTATGAAATTGGAATTGGAATGTAGAGAGGAAGGTCCTTCATCATCAGAAGCTCGACTTGATGCATTACAGTGTTGGCGGTTATCACTGTTTGTCATATCGTCACACATTTTGTCAATAGAAAATAATCTTCAAGCTATATATTTTTTTTTCTCAGCAAAATGATATCCTCCATACAATCAATACAGAATCCACGTCACATTTACAAAACGCTTTAGAAACAGCAACAAGTTTCACAAAATAGCTTGTCAGACCTGTAAAAACAATAATCACAATGCAAAGACATCAAATGTATAAAGAATACGATTTTTTTAACCTATCACCGCTCAACCAGGAAATGGCATACTCTAGTAATATAATGAATTGTGGTGGGTATTTTAATGTGAAATACACATTTTAATAAATGCAAAAAGTTTGTACATTAAATGTGGAACAAAAGGCTAAGAAATAGTTTGTAAAATGAAAATCAATTTTTTATGTAATAATCCGCATTAGGTCGCATTCTTTGATTGGGCGTCAGGAGATTAATGAAATCTAGCACAAATTACTGATGGCTCAATTGTACCTGGGTAGCGTTTGTCAAAAACAGTCTGGACAACTTGCAATCGTAATCCAGCGGAATAAAATAGTTGGCTTGTCTCATCATAGATAAGATGCCTCGGTAGTAGTAAACGGTGTCAAATGTCGTACGAATGTGATTGCAACGAGAAGGACCGTCGCGTTGGCAAAATGTTGGCCGATGTGCTGGAAGGACTAACTCAACAGCTACTAGAACTATTGCCACGGCAGTTACTCGACGAGCTCCTCTACGATGTCGATCCGGAAAAGTTGCTGTACACTGTCCTTGCCCTCGTCTCCTTCATCTTTGTGTTCGTTCGACTCTTTCGAGGTTAGGACGTCGTGTCGCGGCTACGGCTCAAGTTAATTTACTTTGTATAAATAATACACCACACATGCTCAGGTCACGCGCTTATGTGCGTGCAGCGACACAAACTGTAATGTCTGTGTAATGACTAACGCGGCTGCTGCTAGTGTGTACTCGCTCTTTATCCTCGTATTTGTGTGAATATATATAAAGCTTCGTTCCAGCTCTGATTATCCAACACCTAGATATCGGAGTGATTCGCTCTCTCGACTGTTGGTGTCGTTGCCGTCCACGACGCGAGTGCTAAATTTACACCAACTTGTGGTGATGGTTGCAAAGGAAAGGTCAACCGCAAAAGAAAGGATGCTATGCATGCATGCACACGTGCAAATTTTCTGGTATTCCCGTATGTAAAAAAATATTTAATCATGCTAAGATCTGCTCCAATATTATTTTATATTCATTTATCAAAAAAATTACATATCAACCGATAGAAGCTAAAGATAGATTGGAGCTTGCAAGCTATTTAAGTACACATTTTTGTATACTTATTTTGTATGGGCGGGATGACATGGACAAAAGATTATAGTTCAACTAAATTTTTCAATAATTATTATTGTTGAGAAAACATTCAAATTCATTAACGATTTAAAAAAGTTTCCTAAGTAAAATAAGTGATTATATTCTGAGTCATTGTAACAATTGCGAACATTGTCAAATCGGTCGAAGCTGGCCAAAAATAGACGTGACCTCGCTAAAAAAAAGAGCAACAAACGAACGAGGCGAGAGCGAGAGCATGCAAATGAAAGTGAAGCAGTGGCGGCGGCGGTGGTGGTGCGTAAGTGTGCGTGCGCGTAGTGGTAAGGAAGTGGGGAGGGAGTGCGTGTGACGCCGCACCGCCTCGGTATTGTTATTGTTGTTGTTGTGACGGCCAGGCCTTCGCGAGACACCGGCTTCAACGCCATCCTCGACGAGGTGGGTGTCGTCAACTTCCTGTTATATATTTATACTTTCTCAATTTTCTTCTTTTCTTTCTCATCTGTATTTCACTTATGTCTTAGCCGGTAAATGCGACTGCGTGTGTGTGTGCGAGCTTGTAGTTCAGCGACATGCAAATGCGTGCCTTAAGAATTCGCGAATGCTACCCCTTTTTTGAGGTTACATTTTTGCGAGTATTTTGGATTTTTCGCAAGAAGCTTGATATTCTTAAGTATTTAATCATCGGATCAACATGAGCGAGGTTTGTTTCAAAGGGCTTTTAGTACACTTGCTGTACTGAGCTTTCATATTGTATTGATTTTTTTCTACGTTTCATGGGGAGGGATATTTGACGATATAGGATAGACTTGATGCGTGGAAGCATGGGCAGTTGGAGCATTTTATTTCTATCAATGTATTTCTTATATTTCGCAAATACATGTTTTTTGCGAGATTTTATTTAAAAATTATAGTTGCGAGTTGATGCACTGACACATATATATTATTTTTATTTATGATATAAAGAATTAAACTTAATAAAATAGTTGCTTGAAAAACAGAAATCTATAATTTTATTTTATTTCGCCCTTATATATAACGATTATTCAAACTTTATTATGCAAGTAATATTGTAAAATAAATAATATCTAAATTACAAGCTAAGATGGAAAATGATAAATTAATGACGCTGTGTCTAAATGATAATGTGATGATTATTGTACTATATATTTATTTATAAATGTTAACAGCAATCTTACAAAAATATCGGACTATATTATTTATTTAATTAAATAATTGTTCACATTTCACGTAAGTTTTATATGCCAAGAATATTTCATCCCCGTTTGCTTTGTAGTAAAGACAAATAAATCGAGAAAAGGCCAAAAATAAAATTATATTATCTTATCACTGTACACTTTAACATGCAAGTTGATAATACGCATAATATTACTTGATGAAACGCAAGATGCTGCAACGTATTTTGTCTTATCTTGTAGTTTAGATACGGATTAAAATGTTGTGATAAAGCTCATCCGCCTCAAGTATCTGCTTATTTTTGAATTTTACTCTAAATTTTACAAATGTTACATTGATTTCAATAAAATAAGTTTGTACGTTTTAATTGAATCCATTTTTAGACCTCGTTTTTTGTATCAATTACAGAAACTTTTAAATAAATGACGTAATATTTTGAAAAAATAAAAATATTGATTAAGATATTTACAACATTTTGATTTATCGTTTCTGATAACGAGATATTAAACAATATTTCATACATATGTATTTTCTATTTTAAACACAATGCTTCTTTCTATTAAACTAAAATAAACTAATAAGATCAACATGATTTGTGTTAGTAAACAATGTTCTCATTATTTCAGATCATGAATAGTCGTCATTCGCATCACGAACAATGGGGTAAGTTCAAAGGTCGTTTATTGAAAAAACTGTCATTTTAAATTAATAACATTTTTTCTGTTAAAGTAAAAAAATATTCGGTAAAAATTTATTTCCAGCTCTTGCTGTATTCTTAGTTTAGCTCGAAATAAAAATTGATCGCATTATCTTATACTTGGCACTACATTAGCATCTTACACGAAACAAAATGTCATATAGAATAGAAACCGTCGTCAAAAAACAATTCTTTCAGCGAGGAAATGTGATATGTAAAAGGCCTGCTCATTTGGTATTCGTATCGTAATATAGAACAGCTGCAGAAAATACAAAATGCATGTCGTCGAGAGTTTTCGAATTACGATTCTAATGAATAAGTAATAGATTCGGCAGTTCCAGATTTCTCTACCACATCAATTCAATATTACGTAAAACGACATGTGCTAACTTTTGTTTGCAACATTAGCCTTTTTAACAAACACTAAGCGAATTTAGAATAAAATGTTTTTCACAGTTAGTGAAATAATTATTGAATTTAGGGGTAAAAATTAAAAAAAAAAGTTGTTTCTCACGTTCAATTTGTGACGTGATAATTTTTGCCGAAAATTGATTTGAAGAGAAAAATTATGGAATTCATACAAAACAATCGGTTCAACTTTCATTTTTAAAAACCTAGAAAAAAGCTGTACCAAATCGTATATTGAAAAAAAAACACTAAAGTTGATTCAAATACGTAGCTATAAGTCGACGTGGACGTTGTACAATAATTTTCCTACCGTGGAGGTGAAGGTTGTCAAAATATCTTTCAACTTTGAACGCTAGATCATCATTCTTGAAATAAATATAGCAATAGCCAACATTTCTACAGGGCAAAGGTAAAAGTTGACTAACAGCAATCGGCTGGTACTTGTCGAAGAGATGCAGTAGGTAAGCTTCGTTCAACCGTAGGTCGACATTGCCGACGATAACTTCCGATGCCTTAGCGTACACGATCTCCTTTGTAATTGAGTCTTCTTTTTTTTCTTCTTCTTCGTGCGTCGTGCTGCAGACAGATACTTTACCGTCCTCGGCTATTTCGATACTCTCGGAGTCTTCGTCCTCCTGCGACGTGACAAATTGTTCGTGTTCGTTGTTAATTGTCGCAGCAATCGTCTCAACACTCTCGACTTGATCAGTTTCGTGGGTGTTGTCGTTGAAGGACTCTAGATAATTTTTCACATTCAACCACGTGTAATCCAATGACTTTTCATCTTCAGTCAATTCATTCGTTTCACAATGATCTCCCGCGCCATTGCCATTAACAAATTTCTTTGTCACCTCATCGTCATCGACGTCGCTATTATGCTTTCCGTTACAAGCTGAGCTTTCATGACGTTGCCCGTTTTTTCTATTGTCAGCGTATTTTTCTCTTGCATAATTATGATCATTAAATTGTCTATTTGCTGAACGCCAACGGTTCCTTATATGCTGTCCTGCATCGTTGGCAGATCCTCCATTCGGCCAGCGATGGCTGTTATTATTATAGCCGCCATTGATGTAGCTGCGTCTTTTCTTGCGGTATACTTTCAATTGAATATCCGGATGGTCCTCCAGTCCATCGACTGCTCGTTTTGCTTCCTCGTAAGTTTCATAGGTGACAAAGTGGATGCCACATTGATTGCCAGCTTTCCTTATGCTTAAATACTGCCCGAACTCTGCAAATATGTAACAAATGTCTTCCGTCTCGAGTCCATTGACGTTGGAGAATAAAACGGTGTAGCATCCGTAACGATCTTCGCTTATTCGTTCATCGTGTCTTCCCAAATTTTCTGGAACTATGTATGGTTTGATTTTCACGATGTTTAATTATCGGCAAGATACTTTTTTCTCCGAGTTACATTGAAATTATACACTTACCACCCATCGTGAACTGAAATTTGTTCCAAAAACTACGATTTAGTTTTTTGATAAAAAAAAAAGGTGACTGGAGCAATCTAAGCACGAGTGGAACTGAACAAGAGACGAGCAAGAATCAAACTGACCGAAAAAAGTCCTTGTCACTTGTTTATGTTTTTAAATGTAAGTCTGAGAGGGGAAAAATGTAATTATATTGCATTCTTTGATTTAATAAAACTCGCGAGTTATAAAGATTAAATAGTATTGAATTTGATTCATGTGTAATTAAATTTTACATTGCTTTCAAATGAAATGTTCATTTTCAATGGGTATTTGTTGCTTATGCGTTCGTTACTTTTCTAATCCTTAAAAAAAATCGAAATTTAATTTAATTTTACAAATTTTTCAGTTGGAAATCACCTGAAAAAGAATGTAACAATGTCCATTTAAACATCAAAAAGATGAAGCACATTAATTAAAATTCAAAGCAAACAAGCGACTAATCTGCAATGCGGACAAGGTCGTCACATAGAGCTATACGCGCAAATATTTTTGCGATATAAGTCTTTCTGCGTATATACGACTCAAACATACGAATTGCGCGACGTACGAGCGATCATCGTGAGGCGTCGCCAGCAGCTAATGGAGGAGAATAGTCGCTGCCCTCGTTTCGCTGCTGCTGTGTATCAAATGAAAAAAGAGGGAGAGAGAGAGAATACGTATATACTGTAGCGATGAAGACAAATGATTGCTACGACAATAAGCACCTAGTAGTCTGATCATGTGAGCGTTTTTTTATCAATTGCTTTCTTTTACTTATTAATAGACTTATTTTTTATATCGTTTATGTATATGATAATTAATTTGTTATGATGACTTACGTAAGGATAAAAGTGCTGAAAATGACTTTCACAATGAAGTAGAAAGAAATCGTTATATTTTTCAAATGTTTCACTACACGAAAATTGCACGAATTATTTTATATTTTATCACTGAACACGCAAGATATAGAAATGACCTCTCATAGGTTAACAAAATAAATTGCTTTGAATAATACATCGATAAACGAAGAGTTTTCGTTTACGTAAGATACTCGTCTTCACAAAAAACACTCGAGTTTTAATTATCAAACGGCCGACAATGAAATAAAAATTAAACATCTTGAAAATATTCATATCGATTGCGTGGTCTTTTTGTACGCATGCCTAGCCAATGGGAATCCGCTTTGTCGAAATAGAATTATTCTGAGTAATTGTAAGCCGGTCAATGGCCCAGTGCATTCACGCAGATGCAGCGACTCGTTTTCTTTCCGCAAACAAAATTCTCGCCGGGCCGCTGCTCGTATACAGCCCCTGAACTGTGCACAATCCCCGCAAATGAAATCTGGCGTTTCTCGCGCGCTATTCCTCCTTTTTTACAACAAGCTCGCGATATATACACGGCGACACCCCTTTTTCTTTACACTTCGCTGGCCCACGACGACGGCAGACTAGAAAAAAATAAAGCGAGAAAGAGAGAGAGAGCACTACTTTGAGTGAACGCGTGTGAACGTATAGTTCAGTGGTACGCGACAGCGGCAGTAGAACTGGCGAGAGTAGTATATATATATATACATATATATACATCTCGCCGACTTAGTTTTCGCTTTCATATTCAAATTTCAAAAGCCCTGGAGACAATTTTTTTCTTTTTTTCTAAAATTTCGCCTCTAGTTTTATTTGTTAGCTTTTGTTTATTTTCGAGTGCGTCGAACTTAGTACTTACATAAAGACGTTTGTGTATTAATCGTTAAACGACAAAAGTAAACGTATTGGTTTTCACGTAGTGCTCGTATTAATTGATAAAAACAAATGATTTAGCAGACATCGCGATATGCACGTGACACTCTTGAATCTACGGATGAGTTAAAAGCTTTCAGCACTTTGGTGTAAATGAAGGGTAATCGAGCAAGGCCGAAAGCTATTGGAAAGAACGGGGAAAACAAGCTGAGCGCACTCATAAAATATTAAGATCTTCGTCGT